CTCCGTCTGTCCGCCTTAGATAGGTACAATCATGGAGCAGAGTAAGCAAGAGCGGGAGGTTAACGGATGCAACGCAAACCGTTGCGATAGCAGGCCTGCAAGAAAATGAGTTGTATAGGTGATCGCAGGCAATCACAGTCCCGATACAAAATAATTGTCGAACGTTAGGAACTCGCAGTTGAAGATCAGGGCGAAGGCGACTGTTAATTTGTAGTCTCTCAACGAGCGTCACCGGATTCATCCATTGATAGACATCAGTATCAACAGCCTTGATGGCAGCCTATGTCTCAAGCATCTCGATATAAGAGACAGCGGTGGTGGCGAAGGAGGCAAGGTCGGTGACGAGGAATTTGGATAAAGATGGTGGTGTTTGTTCGAGGGATGATGGTTGTGTTTGGGGTGGGGGTCCCCACATTGAGTAAGAATGTAGGTTGTGTTGAGGAAGGTGTTTTTGAGGGCTTTGTAGTTCAGGTTGTGGGTGATGCTGAACAATGCGCCGCCATCGACTGGTTGGTTGAGAGGTGAAGGAAGGGTGTTGTTCTCTGTGGTCGGACGAGCATGGCATGTGCAGAGGGTTACCTTGGGACTTGTCAGGGAAGTAGTCCTCGGTGGGTCGTAGGCCGTGACACAGGTCGAGTCCTGCTGTCCGTAGGTTTGGACAACCAGGAATGGGGCCAAGAGTAAAATGGCCGCGACTCTCTTGGTGATCATGCGACGTGCGGCCTTGTTCTGGACAGCCATGGTCAGAAAAAAAATGGTGGTATGAGGATGGAAGGGAAGATAGGGGTTGACAAAGAGCGAAGCAAAGAAGAAAGAAGCAAAGATGTGAATGAAGGACATATATTCGAGAAGGAATGAGTAGGGATGAGGGACATCTCCTCCGTTGCAATTTAGCTGGTGCGCATCTGTTGGACAAAAAATGGCGCTCAACTCTGGACTTTTGTCCTTTCGAAAGCAAGGTTGAGAGCTTCATGCGTTTTTGAGAAAAGAAGTGGACCCAGACCCCAGAAGGATGTATACCGTCTGTGGTATGTGCATCTCTCAACTTGATATTTCAGGACGCGTCCAAGTGGCCGGTAGTGGCGGCTCAAATGGAAAAATCGCTAGAGTAGTTGACCAGCTACGTCTACGATCACCAATAAGACTCTTCCACTTTCACGTTTTTTTCTTCTAGGGCAAAGAGACATCCATCTACTTGCTGACAGGAACGGTCTTTACTTTTCAAGGGGACGCACCGAAACCGCACTACAGGAGCTTCGTTGGTATCATAAAAACACGCTCTATCGTTTGATAATGTTCAATTGCTTCTAGAGTTTATTGTTCTTGCGTTACGTACGGGGAGACACAAGCCTTCGAACATACGATGTGGTATAAAGGTGTAAGCTGAAATGGTGAAGAGAATGTTTGTCAGTCGGTATTTCTGGTTCCTTGAGTGAAGCATGATCCATGGTCTATAGTCAGGCGCCTAGCGGATCCTTTAAGTTATCGAGTGACATTTTGTTCCTATGAATCCTCAGTCGCGACTTGGTCGATTTCATTGTTGGTTCCTGGAAAGCCTTCTCTTCGTTATGCTCTTTATTTTTGGTAGCAAAATAATAGTGACAGCCAGGCGCGGTCTCTCAAATTGATAGCGTTTTGTCGGAATCTCAACAAATGAACTGTTTGGAGTTGAAGTATCATCCTGAAAACGTTCCTTGAAGATGGCTCCATTTTTCCCCTGTAAGGAGCTCCGATCACAATAGAACAGCGTCGATAGAGAGACGGTGATCATGTTGTTAACACTCAATTGATTCTGCCGTGATTAGAGCGACTATCTGCGACAGAAGATCCCGACCTGTATCCACAATGGATGAAATTCTAGGAGGTATAAGTGAAACAAAAGGCGATGGTTAGGACTGTATCTGACACTCGTACCCGAATACGTGGCCGCGTGCTTTGGATGCGTTTCTTTGTTGGTTATGATGGAAGGAGAGGGAGAAAGGAGGAAGAGGAAGAGGGAGATTAGTTGTAAGTCCCGTGGACATTCAGAGGGCAATAGCGAAGAAAAAAAGAGTGGTACCTTTATTTGATATGCTAATTATCCTCGCGTTCGCTAATACCATCGCTGTGAACAGCCATGAACAAGGCCGTCTAAGCAACCAGAACAGCGATGAAAAAAATAGACTGGAGAGACCGACCCTTCAAAAGCGCATAAACTCATCTCCAGCCTACATTCCCCCTACCCATCACCACATTGCTTCCAACACCAGGGACAAAGACATATAACCCTTCAAAGGCAGTTGACCGACCGCTACGCCGCCCAGTACACTTCCAAACATGGTTTCCAGTGCCTTTGGATAACGTAATTGAAAGTACCAAGAGCCCTTGGAAAGCAAACCCTCTATAGCGCAAAAGCCCACATAGCAGGATCAAGGTTGCAGAGTGGGGTCTCTTGCACCCTACGATGGGCAGACATGGGCGCTCTCCAGAGGATTCCGCAATGCGTTGACGGAACTACGTTGCTTTAGCCAACAGAACAAAAGCAAGATCACAGGCATACTTTAGGAATCCTCCTAGGGACGATACATCCAAGAAACGGTACCTTCAACGTGAAAGCAAGTGGTTCTCGTGCAGAAAAGGCAGCGCGTTTGAATCAATTGTTAGCATCCTCGTACTTCCCTTTCGATCGAACAGGTTGTTTATGAAAGATGGACCTAAAGAGGCTCCAAGTCAAACAAGAAAAAGACAATCGAAAAAAGTGTTAGAAAGACCGCCTTTCTAGAGAGCGCAAAGTCCATCCAACCGATCTCCTGCAATTCTTCCTATTCGCTTCCCAACGATGAAGGACAATGACAGTAAATATCAGAGGCAGTTGACCCCTGCTACGGCCGCCCAGTGCACCTCCACACACGCTCCCTAGTGCCTGCGGATAACGTAATTGGAAGTACCAGGGCCGCTGGAAGCGACTACCCTCTTTAGTCCAAGAGGCCACAAAGCAGGGTCAAGGCTGCAAAGTGGGGTCTCTTGCACCCTAGGAGGGGCCATGAGTGCTTTTCCAGAGGATTCCGAAATACTTAGCGGAACTACGTTGCTTTTGCCAAGAGGACAAAAGCAAGACCACAGGTCATAAAGCTGGGGATCCTCGTAGGGACCATGCATCCAAGAAACGGTACCGACAAAGTGTTGGCGAATAGTTCTCGTGAAAAGAAAGCAGTGCCTTTGATTCAATTGTTAACGTCCTTGCACTTCCCTTTTGATCGAACAGGCTGCTTATGAAAGATGAACCTAAAGAGGCTCCAAGCCAAACAAGAAAAAGACAATACAAAAATGTGTTAGGAAGACCGACTTTCTAGAGAGTGCAAAGTCCATCCAATGAGTCTCCCGCAATTCTTCCTATTCGCTTCCCAACAATGAAGGACAATGACAATAAATATCAGAGGCAGTTGACCCCTGCTACGGCTGCTCAGTGCACCTCCCAACACGGTCCGAAGTGTCTGTGGATAACGTAAATGAATCTACCAGGGCCGCTGGAAGCGACTACCCTCTTTAGTCCAAGAGGCCACAGAGCAGGGTCAAGGCAGCAAAGTGGGGTCTCTTGCACCCTAGGAGGGGCCATGAGTGCTTTTCCAGAGGATTCCGCAGTAGCTTGTCAGGAAACAACGTTGCTTTTGCCAAGAGGACAAAAGTAAGACCACAGGTCATAAAGCTGGGGATCCTCGTAGGGACCATGCATCCAAGAAACGGTACCAACAAAGTGTTGGCGAATAGTCCATGCGAGAGTTTCGTTGAAGGGAAGTCGATGGCGACGTTTTTTTGCACTTTCCTTGAGAAAATATGGAAGACCGAAAACAGCAGATGCCAGACTCCTGAGTTTGGTTTTGGATCGCGCTGATGATCGAGTCGAATCAGAATGGTTGAAGACAGAGCAAACAGAGGAAAGGAGTAATGGCGCACGAGATGTGTGATGGATTGCGTGGGAAAGGTGAAGATGGAAATTGTTCATATGACTGATGGTGGCTGGCCTGGTGGCTGAGACTATTAAGCCTGGTTCAAATATCACCAGCCTGTCTAAAACCTGGAGCTGCTATCAATGGTGATGGTGCCTGGCAAACCTGTTCCTGGATTCAGAAACCGATGCCCATTCACTTTTATCAACGTTCATCGTTGCCATTTTGAACCGCTCGTTTTGGTACCATCATCGTCGAGAAATCAACACCATGGCACCATTGACCTTAGGTCCTTAGGTCAGCCACACGTTTCGGTGGCGGCGGCGGCTTGCACATTCATTCACCGCAGCTGAGTCTCGGCGTCAATTGAGAGCAAGGTTGGCCAAAGCACATTTATTAAGACACAGACGACACAAAGTTCACTCAAACTCAAACCGATTCCTCCAACTCCCATGACTTTGACAACTTTGACAATGGACCCCCGCAACGACCACGTCCTGGTAAGTCGCATATATTGCTATTGTTGTTCCCGTTTTCTCTGTCCATGTCACAAAGTGAAAGAAGCGGAGGGACACGTCCTGATGTCAACGTTGCTACGCCATTCAACACTTTCCTTGCATCAACCTCGCCCGTTGGACTCCATGAGACCCATGAGACCCATGAGACTCACACGCTGGTGAACCTTGTCGGACCCTGGTCCCAATCCAGTTGTTTGCTTTGAGTGAAGTTGTAATCGTTTATCCTCTTGATCCTCGGCGACTCCAATCCATTGCCAATATGTCGCAGAGAGTCATTGTCGTGGTGTTGAACAGCGTGGGAATCAGTGAGAGCGCCTGATAGGATGTGGGAGGCGAACGAGAGAAGGCTGATGGCACTGCCGCTTCCTGTCCTGAATCAATGCCATTACTCAATATAACAACCACAGGCGGACCGCCGCATGTTCACAGTGCTACACCTGGTGAAGAGAGACATGAACAAAAGTAATGCTAATTAATTGCGTTATCCTTGTCAATCAACATATAGGGATAATTTCTGGCCAAGAATCTACCTCTCGTCATTTACCATGGCACAAAGATGTATATATGCGACACGATACTGGGAGGTGGTGCCTTTGGGGTGTGCTATAAGGCAATCGCAGATTATGACGAGTTCGTCCTGAAAGTATCGTACTGCCCTCCCGAGAAACCTAACAGGAAGGTGGTGGCAACGAACGAAGCTCGAATCTTGTCTATGTTGCACCACCGGCACATCATCCAGTCCCACGATAGCTTCGAGGTGGGCAACCTGACGATCCTTGTGCTCGACCTATATGAAGGAGGAGTAAGTCTGCATTAGTAAAATGTCTTGGGCCTTCAAACACGTATGCCTACATCTCTGTGTGCTAACCAACTGACATCTTGCCACATAGGATTTATATGAGAAATTGGCGCGCAGAAAGGCCAAGGAGAAAATGTTGGGTCTTCCCGAAGAGGACGTCTCTAGGTGGATGTGGCAAGTCCTCGAGGCGTGTATCTATCTCCATGATGAACTTGGCGTGGTGCACAGGGACTTGAAGCCATCCAATATTCTCTTGGATGCTCAAGGAAACGCCCGAGTGGCCGACTTTGGACTCAGTTTCTCTCCGTCGCAAGGTCTAAAGTGGTAAGTAATGGAGTTTTCAGTTTGAGTACAAACGCCTTCTCATTGTTCGAAATTACAGCCATTACGTGCATTCTAACCAACCACCACATGCTTATACACCGTACAGCGACTGTGCCGGGACGCCAGGGTTTTGGGCTCCAGAGGTCATCGCAAAAGAGATGTATGGCCAAGAAGTCGATGTATTCTCGTTCGGTGTGATGGTCCGTCAGCTACTTTACGGGATACACCCTGAGAGCAGGACTGAACTGCGGTGGGGAAGCGTTGCAGCAACGAAGCTAATCGAAGACTGCATGAGATCCCAGTGTAAGTTTCATCTAAAAGGTCATGTTAAGTGAACAATAGCGATTGTTTAGTAACCGTTAATTTAACACCCATTGTTGTTGTTGTTGTTGTTGTTGTTGTTGTTGTTGTTGTTGTTGTTGTTGTTGTTGTTGCTGTTGTTGTTGGGGGGTTTTTTTAATGGAACCCTGTTCTATGACATTAGACAACCGAGTATCATTCGCCGAGTTGCGAGGATACGAATTCTTCGCTCGCTGGAGGAGGATCACGAACGTCAATGGTAAGCGACCCCAGAGGAACAACGACACCAATGAGGACCCCAGGAAGCGTTCGGCACATTCGCCCTCGTCACCTCCGCACATGGATCCAAACATTATACCAAACCCGTCCGCCATGGTTCCAAACACTACACCAAACCCGTCTGCTTCAGTGTCCGCCTCCGTGTCCGCTAGCGCCCACGCTGTCGCCTCGACCCCCGAGGCTGTTTCTGAGCTGGTTGAGGAGCTGGTTGACCTCCCTCACATCCCGACTACCCAAGATGAAATGCCATTCTGGATGGCATTGATCACGCCCGACCCCGACCTATCGTTCATGGTCGCCGTCGCCCAGTTGGATCCCCTGAACGATCCTTTGGGTTTCCATGTGGGTGAGGACCAGCAGGAACTCACTGACTTTGCGTTCCTGGACCAGCCCAACGGTACCCACGAGCAGTGATTTGATGGCCAGTGTCGGCTCCTTCCGCAGCAAAGACGCCCCTACTCTGTCTTCTCTTCATATTACACCCATTATGTTTCCTTCCATTTTTCTTTAATTTTCCAACCCTTTGCACATATGGGCGACAGTCCACACGACTTCGTCATCCTCTCCGGCCTTTGCGCCACTACATGTATATAATGTATATAACACACAACCCCAAAATAATACTCTTTTCCCTCGATGGCGCTGGTTATAACCGCCCACGACTTACCCCATATCATGAACCCAGAGCCATGAAGTGCTATGCAATTGAGCGTCAACCAGAAACTATCATCCCATGGTATGCGAATAGCTGTAGAGTGACAAACAAAAAAAAAAGAGGAAGCGGACAAGGGGATGCGTAAGGAATAATTACGTGGTGTGAAAAACGAGGTAGTTGGAGAACAGCCAAATACTTTGTGAGGAGACAAGACACTTCTGTTGGCGGCTGGATAAACGAAGGAGGAGGAGGCAAGGGTGTGTATGAGAAGGGTGTCGTTCTGGTTGAGGTTCTTACGGGTGTCAAGTGAAGGGACAAAGAGCGGCCAAGTCGACAGACACACAGGTAGATATCTGGTGTCTACATTGTGAGTGTGTTCATAGCGCCAGACGAGGAAGGTTTAGCGAGAGAAGTGATAAGAGAAATCGAGTGTGTTGCAGAGTGAGAGGAGTTTGTGTGTCGTTGGGGAAGTGGAGGAGATGGCGAGTTGGTGGTCATGGCGTTGAGGAAAGGACGGAGGAAGAGTGTGAAGTGCTAAGTGGTGAAGTGCAAAGAAAAAAGACTCAAAAAACGGTGTCAAGTGTTCAAACTTCAAACTTCAAACATTTGATGTTAGTAAGCTTACGGGGCATTTTATAGTGATTTTACATTTTACAGGGTGTTTTTATTGTTGTCTGTCAGCACCACATGACATATCACTTCCTCTCTAGTATTTTGTTCTCATGCCCTTCGTTGGTGCTGCTCGTCTACTCGTCTGTTCGTCCATTTCTCTTCTCCCTTTCTAGTTCCAAGCTAGTTGCGAGAGGTAGAGGAGGATTGGTCTTATTTGAGAGCGGGAGGCGTTGGTGGTGATTCCGCGTTCTTCCAAGACGACTCGAGTGTTGGATGTGTAGGTGGGAGTGGAGGGCCTTGGATCACAAGGAAGACGAGGCGTGAGAGGGTGGTAGAACTAGGATAAAACGATATAAAGAAAAAAGAAAAGTATGTGTATGGCATAGTAAGAAATAAAGGGGGAGAAAGGCTACAAAGAAAGAAAGAAAGAAAGGAAAGAAGAAGGAAAGAAAAGAAGAAAGGGAGGGAAAGAAAACGCAAAAAGAAAGAAGAAAGACGAAAGAAAGGAAAAGAAAGAAGGCGACTACGCGTTGTCGTCATATCATTGACCATTGACCATTCATAAAAACGCGTTTGTCTTGTATGTTCGTAGCCAAGGGATCAAACGTAATCCAGATCGTCTCAAACAAAATCAACCCGCGTCCTGCTTGTCTATCTGTCGTGTGAATTCTTAACGCTAGAAAGCCTACTTTCTTCATCTCGGGCCCGTGACTTTCGAAGTACTCTTGGCTCCTACCATCCACAATACCATAACGAAATGGTCATTTTTTTTTCTTCTCATCAGGTCAACTACATCGACAAAAAACGGCCAATCTTCATCACTTTTCTCTTTTTCTCTTTATCTCTTTTCCTCTTTTCCCCTTTTCTTGACGACCAATGGGGCACACGCTCATAGAAGAGGGGAGCGGAAACAAAAGAAAGAAGCAACAACATAGTAACATCTTTACATCAATGTACAGGGCAGAGAGGACCAATTCCTTAGTCAATTAGCCTATTTGATGTCTTGACTACCATTTAAAACATAAAAGAGCTGGGTGGTGGCTTCATTGAGAAGTTTCTCCTACCTGCTCACGAACGCGTTGCACTTTGGATTCATATTAATATTCGGAAGTAAATTTCTACATAAAAAGCAATATATACGCGACAAACGCGCCATCTACAGCAAACACAATGAGTGTCCCCGAGAATAACCCCTCTCAGACCTGAGGTTTCAATAACTCGATCAGAGGCCCCAAGCCATCAACCCACCCCATCTTCATCGCAATACCGCCTCCGACAACCGTCGTAAAGAACAGCACCAGCGTGAACAGAACAATGCTGTAGATGATCGCCGACAAGTCGCGCTCGGGCTTGACGGGTGCGTACCGCGAACGGGTTCCAGTGCGTGTAAGGTTGCGCTTCAGTGGCTGTCTGAGGTCATCGTTTTCGAGATCCTCATCCTCGGAATCCAGTTCTGGGCGGGCAGTTGTTCCTGTGAATGATGAGTGATGGGGGAGTCTCTGCAGCAACTCTGGGAGATCTGTGCCCAACGCCTATTAGGAAGAGATTGCAAATGTAGGGGAAGTGAAAGAGGGGTTAGCGCTAATTAATTAATCATGCATCTTCATGCGCGCCACTAATTTTCAGGCACCATCATCAATCGAATGTAACATACCTCATCAGAGGCCATGAGAAGTTTCTCATTCAGAGCTCCAAACTGCTCAAACTTCATGCCATGTAACGCCTCACGGAACTTTTCAACATCCGGGAAGTCTCCCATAGGAAGTCTGAACTTCTTCGAGACCTCCTTGAACTCGCGAGGGAGGTTATCCGACAACTGCTTGAGGGCAGCTGCCTTGCCATAGAAAGAAGGCATCTGGTCACGCAAATGGGCCATGATCAGAGCATGGACACGGGCCAGACGAGCACGCTTGACAATCTCGTTGACTTTGCGGATGGCGGCGTTGATGGGTAATTGCTGCAAGTCCATGAGGAGATCCTTCTTTTCAGAGTCCAAGAGTGTCCTGCAGTCGTCAAAGGCGTTCGGGGGTCTCTCCAACCAGATCGAAACCAAGTACACCCGCATCACCTCGGGAGTGTGGACCACCTTTCCCAACGACCACATCAATGCTCCGTATCTATTCGAAAGCATTAGAAATTGAACATCGTGTTAATTGTCGTCATTTGCCATAATCGACCTTCTCGCTCATGTGTTCCACAGACCAAGAGCAATAAGAAAGGGGAGAGGACTTACACGCGCATGAGCTGTTGCTGGTTGACCATATCCGACTTATTCAAGACAACTCTGACCTTCTCCTCATGGCCCTTCAGTGCATGAATAGCAGCCTTGAGTTCGTTCGAGATATCCAACTTGTGGGAATCAAACAACAACAAGACCAGATCTGCCCTCTCTGCAAACCACTCAATCACCGAAGTGTAGTCGTATCCACGATCACGCTGCTTGTCGCCCGACAGAATACCGGGGGTATCGACAATTGTGAAATTCTGGAGGACAGGGGAAGGAGTCTGAGAGACTTGGAAGCGAGAGAGGAAGGCTTGTCCGAATTTGTCGAGGCCCTTGAAAGGGAGGGCTGAAGAGACGGCAGCCGCATTTCCGGGGATGATCCTGTCTGTTGGGTTGTCCATCACCGCCACAAATCTGTCCGTCTGTTTGTTGTTGTGTTGTTGTTGAAAGAGTATGCGTGATTGTCAGTTAATGGGAAGAAAAGGTTGAAATAATAACAGGCGCAAGTAAATGATACACAAGGAGCAAATTGTTTACGTACAGTTGGCTCGACACCAATGTGCGAGCTGGGGTATGACTTTTTCAACAGTGAGTTAATGAACGTCGTCTTGCCCTATTATGTTGCATAAATAAGAGACAGAAAATGTATGTCAGAAATCGGACTCCCCTTCTCTCTCCACTTTCTTCAACATATACGTCCATCGCAAAACAATACTACAACGTACGGTAGAGTACTGTCCAATAAGCAAGACCATAGGCTTGGCCGCAATATCATCATTTCCCAGAGGAGCAGAAGAAGAAAAGTGCTCATAGTTGTAAGCCTTCTCGAGAGGTCTGATCTTGTGGGTGTAGACGTCCTGGAGGTCGTCGATGACTCGGTCAAACTTGCGCACGTAGTCTGGGTTCTTGAGAGAGGCGACTTCAAAGTCTGCGGTTGGCGAGGGTGTAGCGGCCACTGCCTTGCGGGCGTCGATTTCTCCCATGGTTGATTATCTTTTTTGGGTTCTGTTTGGGATAAAGGTTTGAGAGGATGGTTGAAATGTCCTTGCAGGTTTTCCAGATGATGAGTTCCTCCTGATTAGCTGGGGTTTTGTGATGGACTGAGCGGATGAGTAAGGTCCTTCCTGGGAAAAGAGAGAGATGATCCTGCACGGAGAGTGATGATGGAATCCTGCAGGGGGGCGGGAGGTGGCGTTGGGTCAGATGGATGAGAGCAGGAGAATAACAAGAAGAAAGAAAAGGAAAGAGGTTCCTAGCCGCCAACAAAAGAAAGAGCAGCAGGTTACCCCTGAGTGAAAAAAAGAGTGCCTTTCTTTCCCGCCCATTCAGACATCGAATAAAATGCCAGTCAGACAGGGCAGCCGTTGCGTTGGGGTATGAACAGGGACTACTGGCCAATCACATTCATCCTCATGGCCATGGCATGTTTTTTATTTATTTTCTATGTGAGTGTTGGATACTACAGTCAGGGACAAAATCACCGACGGCCATAGACAGACTGCTGCTTCTTGTTGTTGTTCTCAACATCGTTTCCTGACGACACCCGACCTTCTCTGGTACTCGCCTCGGCAAGAACACCCACAACTTCAATAAAATCATCCACTGCCTTCCGACTGATCTGCCAATGCAGCACAAGCCGCACCTGCGTCTGACCCTCTGCCGCATCCTCATTTCCAATCCGGATCCCCTTCTCTCTCAACAATGTCTTGCTCAAATCTCTCAACAACACCCCCGACCTTGCCAAATCCAAAAACACCATATTGCTCTCCACCGGCTGATAGATCGACGCCCCCATTCCTACTCTCTCAATCCCTTCTGCAAGATACCTTGCCAACCCATGAGTCTCCTTCATCGTCGGCCAGACATTATCAATACACCAATGCGCTGCCGCTGCCAATCCACCAGCCTGTCTCCACCCTCCTCCAAACATCTTTCGGAAGTGTCGTGCCTTCTTGATCAAACCCTTGTCACCGACCAGGACACTCCCGATAGGCGCACCAATTCCTTTGGAAACACAGAGCGAGGCACTGTCAAACTCCTGAGTATAATCCTTCAAGTCACAACCAGCCGCAATAGCCGCATTCCATATCCGAGCTCCATCCAGATGCAACCGGACCTTGTTCTCGTTCGCAAACCGACGGATCGCCCGGACTTCCTGCAGCGGCATCACAGTCCCATCCAATGTGTTCTCCAACGAGATCAATCGTGTCGGCGCCATATGAACATCGCTATCGTCGACTACAAACTCGCGTTCCAGATCTTGGACAGTGATATGATGACCCTTGTTGGCTATCGCCTGGACAGGGTAGACGGTTGTCTGAGAGTGAGAGGCGAGTCCTCCGGCTTCGTACCGATAGACGTGTGAGCGGCGATCACAAAGGATGGACGCTGGTGGGGTCAAGAGTGAGGCCTTGAAGGCCAATTGGTTGGTCATGGTTCCTGATGCGCAAAAGAGTCCTGCCTCGTGTCCTGCCAATTGTGCGACATGGTGTTCTAATGATCGGACTGCTTCGTCTTCCTCGTAGACATCGTCTCCTCTTGACGCATTCAGCATCACCTCCTTGATCATTTCATCCGTCGGCTTTGTCACTATATTTTCGTATTAGCAAGGAAGTTGGACTGTTAGTATTGGCATGTTTATCAATACCAATTGCATATATTCGGTCTGAGAAAAAATGCTTACAGGTGTCACTACGAAAGTCGGCGACGATCCGATGGTGCAGAGCAGGAAGAGAAGAGAATGTCGCGAGTGATGAGCGTGCAGGTGCAACATTGACTTTGTTGGTGAGAAGAAAGGCGCGAGTTGAGAGAAGGCGTTGTGCTCGAGTGGCCCATGGCTGGATGAGAGTCGACATGGTCGTTGGAATGAATGCACAAAGGAAGGAGGAAAGTAGACCGACGGAATAAAAAAAGACGTTGGAGGGAAGGGATGTGGGACTGGTAGCCAATGAGCGGCCGTTCTGGCGTGACCAGTCATATGAGTAGTCACATGGATCTGTGAGAAGTCGTGGAAAAGAAAAAAAGAAGGGTTGGGGTGGATGCTTCCAGACAACCATGCAATCGATAGTAATAAGGACCCATGCCTTTTGCCTCGCTTTTATAGTTGAACGAGAAGGGTTGTGGCAACCTTTGACACAAGATAAAGGAAGACGCGAAGGCTTACAACAAAGAAATGTGATAAAAGGCGGTAAAGCCATTCAAAGGTTAATAGAAAGAAAAAGACCTCTTTTTTTTTAACTGACTTCAGCAGCAATTGCGTCCTTGTTGTTGCCGTCAACAACAACAACAACAACAACAGCAACAACTACAACAACAACAACAACAACAACAACAACAACAGCAACAACAACAGCAACAACGACAAAAGACAGGAAACGACGAAACTATAGGTATCAACACATATCCTCGAGGACAGAGAGAGGGTCATATGAGTATGGATGATGAAAGTTAAAAAAAAGAGCAAGAAACAGCTTGTTGTCAGAAGAAGAGAGTTAGAGAAAGGGGTGGAGGCATCATATTACCATCTAACATGGGATCGGGCCAACAGTGTGAGTAAGGCAAGGTAAGGTAAGCACAGGCAAGGGGGCGGCAAGTGACCAATCCATTTCGCCACAGGTCTGACCGAAAAAAAAGGCGCCATATTTTTCTTTTCTTTCACTCTTTGTCCTTTTTCCTTTTTTCCTTTCTTTCTTTCTTTCATTCACCTTTCACCCTCCTCGCCGTCTGCTTTCCTGTCTTTGCTCATCACCCATCGCCCATCACCCACCACACGCGCACACTCCGCATTCATACACACATCACACCCTTCTTGACACTTTTTTTCTCATTGTGTCCGTGCTTCTTTTGTCTCGCTCTCTGTCTTGCATAGAAAGGAAATAACAAGGTACAGTAGTGCTGTTGTCCATTCGCACTCAGGAGAAGGAAGGGAGACAAGAGTGAGTCGGTAGACTGAGTAAAAAGTAGAGCGCCAAGCGAGAGGGTGTGAAAGCAATATTATGCTTCTACGGCCAGCAAGACCAACAAGGCCAAACAAGGCCCATGCTCAAAAAGTCAATATTGATTGATATGTATGAATGTATGATGTATGAGCCATCAGTCCCTCAGTCCCTGACCTATTGACGTCCTTCCCTGCAACCCCCATAGGTCACTTTTCTTGCTCTCTTTTCCCTTTGTCTCTTTTTCATTTTTACGCCGCTACCTTTCTACCTTTTCTGTTTATTCCCTTCTCTTCTCCTCTCCTCTCTTCTCTTCGCTCGTCCGCCACTCCACTTTTCCTTCTTCAACTTCCTCTTCCTCCTCCTCCTCCTCTTCCTCCTCTTCCTCCTTCTCACCTGAGACAGCGATCAATCACATTCACACTCACTCTAACACACTTCTCTGCGCAGCATGGGAAACACAACGACAAAGGAAAAATCTGACCATGTCGACGGGGGAAACCTCCTCCCAAACGGAATCTACTCGGGTCCACAGGATTATGACTTCCGGATCGTCCAACGACTCATCCACCAACGTAGACTCGCTCCCTTCTATAAAGGACTAGAAGACTGGGACGATAGCGAGGATGCCCTTGAAGAACGTGCCGCCGCCGCCGCTTCTGCCTCTGCCTCTGTTTCTGCCACCTCGAAGTCAACTCAACAACAACAACAACAACAAAAGAGCGCCCATGCTCATTCCCACTCACATTCCTCTTCTTTGCAAGGACATACCCGAGGCAACAGCTCCAGTCATAACAACAGCCAAGGCTATACTGAGAGGTCAATGGTGGCAGACTCAGAGCGTGAAATGAGGCGACTGTACCAGGGTGCAATCGAGTGTCCCATCTGCTTCTTGGTAAACTTTTGTTACTTTTTTTTACCTCTTTGTTTTGGAAGGGAAGCATTGGATGAACACTTCGCCCCGCCCTGGCCACCACTATGTGTTATTTTTGGTTGATAAAGTGAGACAGGGCAGACCAGGAGTGACAGTGGCACTTACGTCAACAACTAGAAGAACGACAATAGCTTGAAGAACGACAACAACAAGAAGAACTGGCAACGACAATGGGAGCAGAACGAACAACAATAAGAAGAACGACACCCTTTTTTCCAACTCATGCTCCTCTCACTCAACTGTCTTCTCTCCACCCTACCTCACGAACGACAAGTGCAGAAACATATTTTTTTTCTACTCTTCCTCCGCTGTTTTCTCCACGCCTTCAGAAACCGAGGAGTGGTTGTTGAGAGCACAATGACCTCAGACTGGAGACCAATACCACCAATCCATGAACAATACTAACCATTCAAAGAGAGCAACAGTCATGCTCACAACGGCGGTGCCCGAACCTGCCATAATCATGGCGCCACTATTTTTTCCACTTCATACTAACCATTGGGATGATACTTGACTTGTTTTTGGGATGAGAATAGTACTATCCCCGTAATATCAACCGGACACGGTGTTGCGACAAGCCCATGTGCACCGAGTGCTTCGTACAACTCAAGCGCCTGGAGAGCGCACCCACCGAATCGCCTGCCTGTCCTTACTGCGTCGAGCCACATTTCGGAGTCATTTATTCCCCGGCCCTTTTGCCGAGCGCTCTTCCAGGATCACCTATTCCAGGGCACATGGTAAAATATGTTCTTCCCGTTCAATTCACCCCTTTTGTTTGCTTTGGGGGAGTGGACTATCAGCCCCTTTGTCTTGTTTGACCGATCAACCCACTCACCGATATACCACTCTTTTGTTTATTAGACTGCCACAACCATGACCGGCTCGCCATCAAGCAGTTTGCTGGACAGGGGTGCGGATGCTCAAAGCCCTTCATCACCTTCTACTCGCCGACGAAGCACCAGCCATAAGAGCCCAGAAGTAGTCGCCGCAGGTATGTATTTGACCAAAAAAACACAGGCCAGGCAGCTGTCTGCGATCGGTGCGCCAACTGCTCACTCGTGAAGATTGCTTGTCTACTTTTTCGGGACGATATATATTATTGTTGCTGACTCTAAAACATCGGTCATGTAGCTCCCTTGCGCATAATTGTCGTCACTATCGTTACTCACTCCTATTCTCTCGTGAAACGATAGATGATTTGAGGCCTGATTGGAATCGCAGGATTTTGGCTGCAGTACAGCGCCAGCCTGGATCAAGGCGGGCGTCAACATCATCATCAGTGTCGAATTCGACTTTTGCGCTGGGAAGACGATTGGCGGTGGGACGACAGGGAACGAGCTCTCGACGGTCCAATTCGTCGGCGGCGGCACAGGACTACAATGGATACTTGTCAGCCATGCGCAACATGGGCACAGACCTGGAGGAATTGATGATTATGGAGGCCATGCGACAGAGTCTTCAGGATGAGGAGGAGCGTTTGGCGCGTGAAGCTGCAGCAGCAGCTACTGCTGCCGCTGCCGGTGATTCGAATGCTACCGCTGGCCAAACTGGTGAGGGGAGTACTACAGGATCATCATCGCCTTCTTCACCCACTCAGCAGAATCGCAGTCGTGGTAGTCCGGGAGCACGAGGAGCAGCTGCACGCGTGGGAGGGTCAACGGCGTCACCGGCGACGGGACATTCTCGGTCGTCGACGCAATCGAGCACTGTTCATGGTGGATCGACGCCAGGTCCGGCATTGGCACTCAGCCGGAGTGACAATGGCAGTCTGGAGAGTTTGAGTGACCGCGGTGTTAGACATGATGATGATTCGGACAGCGATCAGGAGGATTCGCCAGCGTTGCTGGATAACCGTGCGATCCGGTATGCGCAGGTAAACATTGGTACTGCTACTGCTGTTACTGGTAATGGTAGTGTTCGTGAGGGGTCAGATCATCCCAAACATCATCGTCAAGCCGAGGGACCTGGATCGCGTAACACACCCGAGGCTGTTTGAAGTGAGGTTCTCCTGTATTTTTTTTATGAACACAAGAGTCATTTTTGCTTGTGGCGTTGGGGTTCTTTTTTTCTTTCTCCTTCGCAAACACCTTGACGCTTTTGCACACAACAGCCCACACACATTCCTCACACCCTGCTCGCATTCGCATGCACGGCACATTCACACTTCTTCGCCAGTACTATATCACCGTTTACCATCCTCATTCGAAAAAAAAATCAGCTCAAAAATAAAATAAAAAGACATAAATAATCAACAAACACGAAAACCGGCTAACAAGGTATAAAGAAACAGGGACACAACCAACAATAAAAAAAATGGCATGGTTACAGGTAAGAGTGTGTGGTATATTACAATAATAATAAAAAAGAAGTCTAAATGGTTGCAGCTATTGCGTGTTTCCTCATATCTTAGGCCTGAGCAGCAACAGCAGTACCGTTGGAAGCGGCATTCTTATCCTGGGCCAACTGCTCAGTGATCTGGCTCACAGGAACACGGGGCGCGACAAACAGTGCCGTCGCATCGGCCAATAATGTACCCGAGACGGTCTTGAGGGTAGCCTTGACGAAGGCCTTTCTGCCCTCGACAGAGGTGACTTCAGAGTGAGCGATGAGAAACTGGTCAGCGATGCAAGGGTGGCGGTAGTTGATGTTGAGGTTGGCGGTGAAGCCTGTCTTTCCGGGGAGGTTTGGGATTGCCTATTGAGAGAGAGGGTATTTGGTTGGGAGAAGATGGAGGCGGAGAGATTAGTTAGTTTTCTATGGTGGTTATTAATGAGTGGGTGGGGGGGGGGGTGAAAGTTGGGCATGACCGGGAAAAGGAAGGTAAGGGGGCAAAACGGAAAAAAAAGAAAGGTAAGGGGTTCGGACAATGGGAAAGAAGGGAGCGTGGGATGATTGGTGCGACATCCACTTACAGTCATTGCGGTGATTTCACTATTCAAGAAAAGAGCGCACCATAAAGTAAAAAAAGAGACACAAAGGCGATTAATAATTGATCAGCATTATCCGAACTCTCCCTTTCAATTGAACAAAGCAAACAAGAAGACTTACTCAAGAAGTGTAGCAAGAAGACCACCGTGGACGATAGTAGGATGCCCACACAGATCAGACCCGACATGCAACACCGACATGACTTGCAACTGATCCTTGCTCTGGAACAACGCCGGCTTTACACTAAGCATCCCGTCCCCGCGCAAGGTGCCAGCCGTAAGATGATGAATCCGGTAATCATCCGTGACGAGCGAGTATGCAGTCCGACGTGTCCAGCTCTCGGGATCCTCTGCGTGCTTGACAACGACCTCCAAAGATTCGAGTTCCTGTTGGAGGAGTAGTTCCTTTTCGGAGACGGGAGGGGAGACGGGACGAGAGGGAGTGGGGGAGGGGTTGTTGATGGCTTCGACGAGGGTTTTGATGGGCGCTGCGATAGATGCAGTGGGTGCAGCGATGGAGGGGAGGGTGATTGAGGAGTCTGACTCTGCGAGGATGGTTGCGTTTGCTGCAGGCATGGTGATGCTTATGGTTGTTGTTGTTGGTGGAGGGTTGATTTGGTTTTCCTTGTGTTCCTGGTGCTGTTCCTGGCGTGAGGTTTGTCCTGCTGTCGTTGTAGAGTAGAGAGAGTGGAGGTGAAAGATGAAGAAGAAAGAAAGAAAGAAAAAAGAGAGAAGGAACGGATCCTTTTTATAGTGTAGAGGCCGAAGAAACGATCGAACGGACATGAACTGATTCGATATAGAAGAGCAAAGCCAAAAAGGAAAAGGAGCAAGGCAAGCAAGCAAAGATATATTAGAAATGACATGACCGCCGCATTCTTTTGTGTCTTTTGGCAAAATTATTTTCCATTCGTGCTCCGCCCCTTCGATCAAACACAAGGGCGAGGAGAAGGAAGGAGGGGAGAGACAAAGAAACATGCAGCCCAGGTGGGAAGTACTCAGCTCTTTTTTTTTTTTTTTTTTTTTTTAGGTAGCCAACCAACCCCACGACCCAGTCACCCAACCCACACTCAGGCAATCTCCAGGGTCAGACGCACACTCCCCTTGAAATTATGGCACCTTTTTTTCTTTGTTTTCTTGGGGTTCAAGCAGGTGCAGTACTGTAATCATCAGTTAGGTAAAACACGCTTCAATTGCTTCCTTAGATTAACCGCCAACACGCCACATGCGAACCTTCATTTTTCATTCTTCTCCCCTCTCCAATTCCATTCGCGCACACAGCAACGTCTCTCTCTCCCTGTCCCACATCTAATCCCTGTCCCACATCTAAACCTCTCCCTTATCTGTCAGATCACCTTTCCTCTATCCCTCACTCGCCCACCTGTATAATTCCTTCGATCGACTCCGTGACATTCAAATCCCTTTAACGAATGATTAATTCTTTTTTCGACACCCTTGGCACACACCCCAGAATTTCGGATGAAAACTTACCGAGAACACACACGACTGACCCTGACCCTGACCCTGACCCTGACCCTGACCCTGACCGTTGTCATTGACTGATAGACTACTGTTGTCAACTTGCATCGTTCATACTTTCATAATTATTCATACTTTTTTTTTAAATCCTCTTTCATCAACGTGTAGACGAATATAGAACTAAAAAAAAAAAAAAAAAAAAGGATTGATCATCCTTCCACACCCAAGACCCCAGCAAAAATGAGCTCGACATCATTTATTTTATTCCTCTCTCCTTTCCTTCACCTTCTTGTAACTTTCCTTTCGCTAATTTCATCAATTGACCAACACAGCTATGTATGCTTTGATTGTTTCACGGTTGTTTTTTTTGTTTACTTGCAGCACTTAAAAAACATCAACAATCTATGAGCTGTGCGATTCCACATGCACATTCACACAAACAACAAACCTACACAGGCACACAAATGCACAAACATCAACAAACAAAACACACACACACACACACACACACACACACACAAGTTTCAATCGCAATGCTTCAAGATCAATTCATCCTTTTTTAATTACAAGACGAAAAAAAGAACTAACTGCCTCCTCCATGCTGCAACCAGGCAACCGAAGAGACGAAATAGAAAAGAAAAACAACACGAGGCACGCGCATACTACAAAAAGGCAAAAAAAAAAAAAAAGTAGTCAAATGGGAGAATGAAACGAACGGCGGAAGAAAAGAAAGAAGATAGGGGACAGATGCCACATGTGCATGCATCCCCTCGTAAAGAATGTGTGGAGAGATATCACACGTTTAGCCTTACGACCATGACACTAATATTATCCGTGCTAAACTTTTGAAGTGCATGCTCCAACAGGAGCTGACTGGCCTTGGTCGGACAGACAACCTCCTTGACCAACTCTACAGCCTCCTGGTCGCTGCACACATCCCACAACTAAAATCAAATACGAAAAGGAAGACCCCAAATGGGCGCTGATTAGCATCCTCTCCACTTCATCATCATTGGCTGACTGCGCTGTTCCTATTCTCTCATTATCCTCCCTCGTGGCGTGGTTGCAAGTCTGCGCGTTGTAGAGGAGGGGGGGTAAATTAATGGGGGGAAACTTACTCCGTCGCAGGCGAGAATGAGATATGGGTTGTCGGCGCTAATTTCTGTCCTGGTCGTATAGGGCGCGCCAATAATGAACTCTTTCATCGAACTGTCTCCCAATGCCCTCGTAACAGCCAACACACCTATTCGGCAAACCATTCAAAATTAGAATAAATTGAATGTCAGTAAAGTCACGAATCTTTGCTTTTCATATTCCTTGATATCATCCTTTTGCCAAGACACGAAAACAAAAAAGTACCATTGACGCGGTTGTTCATGACAAAACCGCCTACGTCCAGGATCCGTTGTGCTTCCGTATGATCGCTTCCCTTATGGTCATACGACAGACGAACTGCGCGTTCCTTATGGCTCAACACTGCTCTGGCATCGCCTACATTTCCAGTGTAAAGAACGCGCTATTTTTTTGTTACAACAAAGAGCAGTGGAAGTAATGTTAGCTGATAGTGTTACACAAATGAGAGAGGGGGGGAAAAAGAGTTCAGCGGGAAAACTGTCGACCCATCGTCACGAAAGAACCAAAAATAACAAAATGATAGGCGTCGTGTTTGCATTGGATCCTTTCAGAGCCCCAGTCCTGTCCAGAGTCCCAAAGCATGCCTAAAAATTACCTTGTCGCCTTCTTTCCTGATGTAAGCCATGATGGCAGTGCAACCACTCGACCGCCCCTGCTGAAGGGCCTCAGCCAATTGTCGATCCACTTCTAAAAATGCCTCGTTCACCAATTCCTGGAAATCCGCGCCTGCCTGCTCTGACTTTTCTTCCAGAATACGACCAAACACCTAATATTGAGAAGGAGAAGAAGGAAAAGAAGGGTGAGGCATTCAGTATTTTCCAGAGACCAAAAGGCAAGCCAAGAGACGAACGCGCGTTTTAGCTTTTTTTGTTTCAAGAGTGAGCGATCATACCTCGTGAAAGTGCTGACCACACCAGTCGGCGGCAGCCTTTCCTGCGTGCCCATCAAAGATGGCAAAGAAGCCATGGCCGGTGATGCCCTCATAGTTGTAGATGAAAGCGTGTGTATCCTACAATGGGTTCGAATATGACGGGGTGATAGCAAAACAGCAAAGGAAAAAAAATAGAGAACTCGGGGTGAGCTATAAATATCCTCAAAGTCGTATGTAATCGTCTGACGGGAGAGAATGAGGGGGAGGAAGGAAAGACAGACAAATGAGGAGGGGGCAAAGAGGAATCAAGTCACGGACTGTGGGCACAGTCATAATATGTCAAGTAGGGGTCCTTCCTGGGTCATACAGATAACCTGTCTGTCTGTCAGTCTGTCCATCCCATGGTCTGTGGTCTGGGTGGTGTGGAAGGACAAAGGGCTGAGAACAAAAAGAAAACTGAAGCTCCAACTCCACAAGGGGCAGTACAAAACGCGCTCCTTCGTCCACTCCAATATCCAGTGAGTGTGGAGTATCATCCATGCCTTGTTGTCCTCTTGTGATCCGGTATCCTATGGCCATTTGCCTCCTCTTATTCAATTCTCAGATCTGGTGTCCGTGTGGTCTCTGTGGTACTCTTTGTGGCGTTCCTATTATTCCTATTACTATTCTTGACCTTAGCCTTTGCCCCCCGCCCACCCTACCTCCTACCCACCCAGACACTCTGACACCCACTGACCCCTCCTCTCTCTCCTCCTTTCATCCTGTCTTGTTGTTTCGTAATATAGCCCAGAATGAAAAAAGTAGCAGAGCTGCTTATATAAGGAGGAAGAGCCAATCAGGCCGCCAACCAGAGAGTCCAACAAGCTTACCTCCATGGTTCTCCTGCAGCGCTTGTTCCTGTCTTCAGCAACACCAACAACAAACTCATACTCGTCTATGTCCTTGAGCACGCACTGGAGGTCGTCGTCGGCAGTGGTGGAGGAAGACTCGGCCTCGATCAGACTGTGGGTGGTCGAACCCTCGATTGAGCTAGTGTCGTCGGGACTGTCACACTTTTCGATGACTGAGCTTGTAATGGAGGTTGCCAGACTGGCATCGAGGCGTTCAGCTCCGGAACTGAGCCGGTGACGTGCCACTGCTGCTGCTCCTGCACCTGTTACTCCTCCTGTTGCTGCTGGTGTTGGTTGGGTTGAAGAGGTATGACTGATATGGTGGTGGTGGTGGTGACTGTGGTGGCTATTGTGGTGGTGGTGGTGTTGCGGTTGTTGGTTGAGCTGTGGGATGGTGGAGGTAGAAGAGTGTCCATGTGTGCTTGCATTGTTATGGGAGTGAGAGTGGGAGTGAGAGTGAGAGTGAGTGTGTGGCTCTGCGGTGGCCAAGGGTTGGGCGGTGGATGTATCCCGGCCAGGTTCGCTGCTCCGACGAGTCATTTGTTGGTTGGTGGTTGCTGTTGTTGTGAGGAGTGAGTGGGAAGAAGGCGCTGGTGGGTGAATAGCGGGTGTGAGGAATGTCGAGTGGAGTTGAGGTAGCTGAAGAAGGTTGCAGAGGTTGAGAAGGAAAAAAGGAGAAAGAAAGAAGAAGACAAAAAAAGGGGACCCGGTATGAAAATAAACCTGGAAAATGCGCGCGCGCTTTTGTTCATTCTTTGTGTGCGATCTGATTTCACCGTATACACATATAATATTGTGTATCATGGAACGCTCTATTCTCCAGCCGGTATTCGCGAAGATTCTTCATGGAAATCCATGCTTGCATCTACGGCGAATGCCTCTCTCTCTCTCCCTTCACCCTCGTCGTCGCTCCAATTCGGCCGGCATACAGAGGATAGCTTTCCTTCTGTGTTCCCCCTGGGAACTCCAGCGGCGGGCTGTAAGTCTAAGTGTAGTACACGTGATGACTTTGTTTACGTGACATTCAATTACAGATCGAGTTCCGTTGTACGTATCGTATGTGATCGGGTGTCCTTCCTTTAAATAAAGCAAAAAAAGCAGTCCTGTGTGTCAACACTCGTTGTTTTCCTTGTAGCAACACACCCCTGTGCTGAATGGGTCTCCTACGCTCGTTTTGTTTTTTTTTCCTTTTTCTTTTTCCGTCCCTGCCTTCCTCCTTTCCTCCTTTCCTTGTCCCTCTCCTCACTCTCTTCCAACTCCAGGACAACACCTCTCCTCGACGCCTCTCTCTCTTCCTTCCTCTTTTGTTTTTTCTTTTTCTTTTCTTCCCTTTTCTCTTTGTTGCTGTTGTTGTTGTTGTTGCTGTCGTCCCTTTACTCGCACTTTTTTTTTCTTTTTCACGGTCCAAGACGTAAGTTCCCTTCCACAGTGTGCTGGCCCACCTAAAGTCATCCACTGTAACCCAAAAACTCACACCTTTTCCTTCGTAACTAAACAATAGACAGCGACGCACCCTTGACCTCGGTTGTATATGCAATAATACCCCTACAATACCATGCTGTCGGTCGCTGCTACACTTCGAGGCTCCAGGGCAACCCTGTCCCGCACCACTCGACAGACGACCGCCTTCAGGAACAACGCCACCCTTTCTGGATTAAAACCTCGATCCTCCCCTTCCTCCTCTCGCCTAACCAACAGACTCCACTCAACCGTCGCCACTGAGGAGGCTACCCAATCGATCCACTCCTCAATCTCCTCTGTACCACCCCTCCGCGCAGAGGCAAACTCAACCCTACACTCCTACACCCTCAAACCCACCCGTTTCGAGCCCATCCGCATCGTCTGTCTTCCAGAGCTCAAACCCAGCGAACCCAGGGAGGCTGGCAAGTTTGCCGAACATCAGCTGTCGGAGCAGATGGCCATCATGTATGCATGTCTCTCTACAGGGGAGTTGGATCGTGCCCGCAGAGTCTTTCTCCTCCTCCACAAGAACAACCCTGAGGATATGTTGGTCCTGGCTGATATCAAGATGCATAACAGCTTCATGGAGAGTTATATGACGGCCGAGCCTAGCCCCAAGACCAAGGAGGCCCTCAAATGGTTTGAGTCTCTTACAAAGTACAAGGTCAAACCTGACCTTACCACCTTTGCCATCCTCATCAAAGGATTCATCCGGTACGCCTTTTTTTTTGTATCAAAATGAGTTTGTAGACATGGAAAACGACGGGATGGAAAGCAAAGTTACTAATATCAAAAATGACTTCGAGAGACAAAGAAAACGAAGGGATCGAGTTATGAACAGCGTAACTAACATTACTTTTACTATCATACTACCATGGATTAGATTGGACAGCAAACATACGGCAAAGGTGATGATGATGGAGATGCAAAAAGCAGGATATACTATCGACGAACTCAGACACTGCCCCAACTTGCACGGCGACGACTTGGAAAAGATCGAGCCGGTCATCAGGATGCTCCAACCAGAACAGGCAAAACTCTCCCCCTTCATGGACGACAAACTGATCCCAACAAAGACCTCAACTTTTGCCGAGGTCACCCCCGTCAAGAACTCTAAAAACGAGCCCGTCATCGGTGTCAAACTGATGCGCCATACTCTGGACGCCCTGGCCCTCGACAATCTCGATCTCTACGAAAAGCAGCTCAAGCTGGAGGAGCGATCCTACGAATCAGCACTCGACAAGCTGGAGCATGACCGCAGCAGTATTCCCGACCAGTTGAACCAGATGAACGTCAAGCCCCTGAAGGGTTATCTCTGGCAGTGGCACCAGGCCCTCAAGGCCTCTATCAAACTAGAGCTCAAGCGCGTTGAAGCCGTGATGGAGAAGAGGTCAGTCTCGGACGATCTTATCTTGGACAAGGATCGCATGCACTACGGCCCTTTCCTCAAGCTGCTTTCGCCCGACAAGATGTCCATCATCACCATTCTGGAACTCTTGCGCCTGAACAACTCCGGTGGTATCATTGAGGGCATGAAGTCTGCCCGCGCCCTGATCGGAATCGGAAAAGCCATCGAGTCCGAGTACAACGCCGAACAAATGACCAAAAAATCCAACAAGGCTCTGGTAAGCAATCTTACCTTCTCTACCATTCTCAATTTCCAATGCCTTGTCATTCGGAGTTCGCTAACAGAGTCCTCACTTTTTTGTGGTTTTTCTTTTTATAGTTTGACCAAAGAGTCAACGTTCATGAGTTGTACGGAAATGGACGTCTTTTCAATATGGCAGTGCGCAAGGCAGAGACAAAGAGATCCGAGGCGATGCACCCGACAGACTGGACCCCAGTGTGGCCTGAGAGCACTCGCGCCAAGGTCGGGTCCGTTTTGACTACGCTTCTCATGGACTGCGCCAAGGTTCAGATCCCCAGTTACGACCCCGAGACCAACGAGAGCATTGTCGAGGATATCCCAGCATTCTATCACGCCTACCAGTACTCCAAGGGTCAGCGTATCGGTGTCATCAAGGTCCACAACCACATCTCAGAGATCCTCTCCAAGGAACCTGTCGGTGCTGTCATCCATCCGCGCCTGCTCCCCATGCTGATTCACCCTCGCCCTTGGTTGACTTACAACAACGGAGGTTACCTCAACGCTCAGTCGATCATCATGCGTATCCGTCACTGCCCTCAACAATATGACTACCTCAAGAAGGCTCACGAAGAAGGTCTTCTCTACCGTGTTTACAACGGTCTCGATGTGTTGGGCCGCACCCGCTGGGCTGTCAACAAGAAAGTCCTGAACACTGTCCTTGAGGCATGGAACACTGGCAAGGAGTTTGGAAAGATTCCGGCTGCTGCAGGAGAGGTCGAAGAGCTCCCCAAGCCTGCCGATTACGAGTCAAGCACCAAGGCAAAATCCAAGTGGATCGCCGAGAACCGCAAACTCAAGTTGGATGCCAAGAACCACCACAGTTTGCGTTGTGATGTCAACTACAAAATCGAGATTGCCCGTGCTGTAAGTCATCTGTCAGCATTTGATGACGAAAATATGTAAATAATGCTCTTTTTCATTCCGAAACTGACACCGTTTATTTTTTTCTCAAATAGTTTGCCGATGACCCAATGTACTTCCCTCACAACATGGATTTCCGTGGACGTGCGTACCCCATTCCCCCACTGTTCAACCACCTTGGTAACGATTTGTGCCGTGGTTTGTTGGTGTTTGATGAGGCCAAACCTCTCGGCGCCAAGGGCTTTACCTGGCTCAAGATTCATTTGGCCAATTTGGCAGGATTCGACAAGCACTCACTCTCGGCCCGTGCTCAGTTTACCATGGATCACCTGGACGAGATTTTTGACAGCGCCGACAAGCCTATGGACGGCAGCCGTTGGTGGCTCAAGGCAGAGGATCCCTGGCAGTGTCTAGCCACCTGTATCGAGATCACCGATGCAATCCGCAGTGGAGATCCCGAGACATTCATGAGCAGAGTCCCTGTCCACCAGGATGGAACCTGTAACGGTCTTCAGCATTATGCCGCCTTGGGAGGAGATATGGCAGGAGCTCAGCAAGTCAACTTGGTCCCCTCGGATGCGCCTCAGGATGTGTACTCTGGAGTCGCCAGAGCAGTCGAGCGCATGCTTGAGACTCAGGCTGCTGGAGGTATCGAGGCCGCTCAGATGTTGGTTGGCAAGATCAGTCGTAAGATTGTCAAGCAGACCGTCATGACCAACGTCTATGGAGTGACCTTTATTGGAGCCCGTGCTCAGATCGAAAACAGGTTGAAAGAAACACCCGGTATCCCTGAGGACCAAGTGCGCGGTCTCAGTACGTACTTGACCCAGCAAGTGTTTGCTTCGATCGGAGAGATGTTCACAGGAGCTCGTGCAATTCAGGACTGGTTGGCAGAGAGTGCCCGCCGTATTGCCAAGAGTGTGCCCATGTCTGTGGTCAACCCCGAGACGGACGAAATTCAGGAGAGCCTTCTCAACAAGCGCAAGAAGCAGACCTCTAAGCAAGCCATTGCCGATCAGCAGATGACCAGTGTCATCTGGACCACTCCCTTGAACCTTCCCATTGTCCAGCCCTACCGCAAGATGGAGCACAAGCAGGTATGCATCGGATTCTCGTTCAAACATTTTCTTTGTTATACATGTATTACTGCTGGAAATCGACCGTTAACCTTACGGTTTATATATACTCGATGATAATAGGTCCGCACGAATCTTCAGTCGCTGACGATCAAGGATCCTTCGCAGGCGAGCCCTGTCAATGTTCAGAAGCAGAGGACGGCATTCCCACCCAACTTTATTCACTCGCTGGATGCCACCCACATGTTGATGTCGGCTACTGGATGTGTTGAGGCAGGTTTGACGTTTGCGTCTGTTCACGATTCTTACTGGACACACGCCTGCGATATCGAGATCATGAACGAGGTCCTCCGTAACCAGTTCATTGCTCTCCACAGCAACAACATTATGAAGAACCTCCAGGCCGAGTTCATGGAGCGCTACAAGGACTACCTCTACCCCGTTACCTTGGTGATCGCCAACCCTGGTGAGGAGGTGGGCGAGGGCATGATTGCCTGGGACGATGAGCGTCTTCGTCGCAGGTACATGAAGCCTGAATCGACGACCATGAGGGCAGATGAGGAGTCGTCCGAGTTCTTGGCCGATCCAGCTGAGCTTCTTGATGAGCCCATGACGACCGACTCGAACAAGAAGGCAAGGAAACCTAGGACGAGCAAGAATGGCCCGTCGAAGAGCCCAGAGAATGTGTTTGAGTTTGGCGATGACGAGGAGGACGAGCACGATTTGTCGAATGTGATGATTGATGAGGATGAGGAGGAACTCGAGGCTGAGGCTCGGGCAATGGGCAAGGCGTTGAGGAAGAAGGGTGGTGCGATCAAGAAGAAGGCTGCCAACAAGCTGTTCCATTCCTGGAACCCCATCTCGTTCCCTCCTCTCCCCGATAAGGGCGAGTTTGATGTCCGCAACGTTGCCGAGTCTGACTACTTCTTCTCTTAGATGCTTATTTTCCTTCTTTTATTTTCGCTCTTCATCACATTACCCCCGCGTCCACTTTTTTTTCTCATTCATTTCTTTCATTTAGCATCCATGGTCGAAACGTTCGACCTGTTTATTTTTATTTTTCTTGCATTGTACAGTACTCATTAAAAGTTATCAAATATCAAATATCAATTTTGGTGGCGTTTATGATCGCGATCAAGATCTTCGATTTTTGACGCGAGAGATGGGACGCGCTTTTTGCAAGACCGAGATCGCAGTCGCTGTGGTGAACTGCCGGAGCACTACAAGTGTTGTGCCAGTTTCAACGGTGTTCCTGTTTGTTTTTCAAAAGAAGGCAACCCCTTCACATCCTTGTGATCCCGTCTATTTCTCGAAAAAAAAATGGCATGTTCGTTGTGTAGTGTATTCTTCGCCTGTCTCCTTTCGCGGCTCACTCATCCTCTCCCCTTAGCTGTTTTTGTGATTTCTTTTGCTGTGCCATGCCTGTCGGTTTTTGGTTATCGATACCTCGGCAAGCCAAGGCAGTTTTTTTCATATCTTGTATTGAGAAACATGGAGAAACAGAAGAGGTAGTTAAACGTGAGCAAAGAAAGGGAAAAAGAGAAAAAGGTATTTGAACGGTCAAAAAAAAAGTGTCTCCTTGAAACTTTCAAAAGTCATTGTATCAAACGAGTTGGCTTTTTACATTTTTTTATCTTTTCGTTTTCTTTGCTCGCCTGTGCAGCTTTTCTGCAAAAGGGAAGTACATAAACCCCACTATCGTAGCGATCGAGAGTAAAATTGGATGATCTTGTGGCATGATCTATATGCGTTTCCGTTGTTTTTATTGTACTGTCTTTTTCATGAGAGACGCATAGTCATTCCTTTCTCTCCTTAATTTTTTATTTGTTGATAATATGAGCCGCAAGGTTATTGTGTCCCTTTTTTCTCTCTCCTTGTTTAACTCCTGAATGTTATTATTCGTTGCCACCGACAATGAACAAAACGTGTCCAGACTGGCGCCAGAGAATCAAACAAGCATTCTCGGAAGAATTCAAAGGACATACTCTGGAGCAAGCACACAATTGGCCATTAAACTACCTCTCTTTTCAGCCCCCTCACTCCCCGAGTTCCACCAGTAATTTCAAATACCTTTTTTTTTTTGCAAACAAAACACCCCAGGTACTTTTTAGCCCCGCTCAGTGAACGTTGCCCCGCTGCTCCTTGAATCAACAGAATGAAACAAGGAAATGGGATAAAAGGGATCGCCCAAGTCGGTAACCTGAATCTTTTTTTTTTTCTTCAGGAATTTTCACGATTACTCTCCTCCCCACACCTTTCACATTCCCCCCTCTCCTCCTCCTCCTCCACTTCTTCCTACCAATTCTCCTTCTACCTAATTACCTACCCACCTACCCACCTACCTACCTACCTACCTACCTACCAAACAACCGTAACATTCCTCCCAAGATGACGAACCTTTCCCTCCACAAGCTCACCTTCCTCGCCGCCCTGGTCCTCCTAGGCCTCTCCGCAACGTCACCAGTCTCCGCAGCGCCAATCCTAAGCCCGCGGCTCATCTCCGCCGGAACCTCCGACATCCCCCCCGATTCCCTTTTCTTCCCCTCTTTTCAATCCTCTTTATCTTCCTTGAGCCGCCGCAACAGTAAACTCCACCGACGCAAAGAAACAGGAGTCATCCAGGGCGGCGGTAACGCGTCTGTAAAGCTTGAGGTTCACCCCAAGGGGATCTTAGGACTCGAGGTGGAGGCGAACGCCAAGGTTGGGGGTGGGAATAAGTCGAAGAAACTTGGTGGAAATAAGTCGAAGAAGCATGGTGGAAATAAGTCGAAGAAGCATGGTGGAAATAAGTCGAAGAAGCATGGTGGAAATAAGTCGAAGAAGCATGGTGGTAATCAGGAGAAGAGGTAGAAGAAGACGCATTAGAAAAGTTGAACTAGATACCACTCCTCCTCCTTCTCATCCTACTCATTTTGTTGTTTGGAAGGACTCCCTTAGTATGATATCGAAATAGACATTCATATATCATTTTGACGGGAGGTGGGAAATGAACAGGTCTTCGGCCCCCCCCCCCCTTGTTCTATACCCCAACCGTAATAAACCACTCATGCACTGTAAATTACCTGTTGATCTGTTGATTCAATAGGTGGCTGATACGAAAAGAAATGGTTGGGCATGAATCACCTATTACCAAAAGCACGCGGTATTTATCTTCACTACGCGGTTCTTCGCGTTTCAACGTATACCATTTAGTAGAAGAAAAGAAATTGGGGGGTTGGGGGGGGGGGTCAAGGGAATCGGGGTCCTCTTTTTTGAGGGACTACGACAGAGAATATCCTCTCGGATCCTCCTATGGTGCTAACAACCCTTTACGGATCCAAATCAGCATGATTCGCTTCTCAAGTACCCGCAAGTCTATTCTCCTTTCTGTCGTCATCCGCTGATGCCATCATGTCTCTCATGACCCTCTCCAGTACCTCATCCATTGTCCAAGCAGCACTCGCTTTATTATCGCCACTTGACCGTCGAGGAACGACGGAATGCACCACCGACCAATCTTAACTTTGAAGTAGAGTACATCTATGTAGGTCCAATGCAACCATGAACAACAAAAACACCATTATCAACAAAAACCACTGTTCCTTTTTGTGTATGCGCCCTTCAAGAGCCTAGAAGAACATCAACGCAAGGTTGTTCCCAACTGCGACAGCAAAACAAAAGACGGTATTATTATTATTCAACGAGTTGGTTGTGAAGTGACATCTTTGACTCCTTTCTTTTTAGCATAGTGGTATTGCAAGAGAGTGGCGATTGATGCACAAAGCAGGAAGAAAAAAAACCTCAAGAGAACACACGTGTGAACGCTTTTTTTTTCTTTTTTGTGCACGTTTGTGACGCGAAAAGGAAAAGTACGCCGTAACGCGTTTCTAGAAAGAAGGGGTATCAAGGTGGGGGAGTAAAAACAGCTTGAAGAATGACGCTTGATTTCCGCGATTGAGGTGATTATATTTTTCTGGCGAGCTTCTGTCCTTTTCCCACTTCCTCCACGCCACGACCCTCGTTTTTTTTTGAGTTTTTTTTATTTATGCGACATGCCTAGAATCTGTCTGTTTGTGCGCCGATTTCTGTTTGGTCGTTGTCATTGTTTACTATCTAGAAAACGAGATCTCAGCAAACACGGGCATATCAAAAGCAACGATGGCGGGAAAAAAAATTATTTGCTATCAAGAGTGGGAAGGCAGGAACTATGGATCCGTGCACTGAACAGAAAGACGTCGGATTTAGTGCAAATCGCGCCATAAATCCCAGCCCTTGAGCAGACAGCATTTAAAAGACAGGCCGGCTCCCACTCTTCATCTCACACTCTAACATTCTGATACCCCTGTCCTACCCAGAGAAGCCCCTTCTTCACAACTCTCTACCTTCTCTCTCCTACCATACAACAAAGACACACTCGCAAGCTACACCATGACCTTTGTTGAAGAAATCCACGCCGCCAACGCCGCCTATGTTAACCACCGTCCCAAGGGTCAGTTACCCCTCCCACCAGCTCGCAAGGTCGCTATCGTTACCGTAAGTCTTTCCTTCTCACTCTTTCCTCTTTCTTTTCGGCGCAGTCGTTTGCTTTGTATCAATCACTCTTACATAAAGGAAGTGCCTCGCTAACTCTTTTGTCTCACCTCCCTTTCCAGTGCATGGACGCAAGAATCCTCCCCGAAAGCGCATTCGGCCTTCAAGAAGGCGACGCCCACGTCATCCGCAACGCCGGCGGCCGAACCCCCGAAGCTCTCCGGTCCCTTGTCATCTCCCAACAGCTCCTGGGCACCGAGACCATCATTGTGGCACAACACACCGATTGTGGGATGTTGACGTTCGAAAACAAAGATATCCATGCAGTGATCCACAAGAACTTGCATGGCGCCGATGCGACTCATATTGATTTCTTGCCGTTTGCCAACTTGGAGCAGAATGTGAGGGATGATGTGGCGTTTCTGAGGAACCATGAGTTGATCCCAAAGGCGGTGGATATTCATGGGTATATTTATGATGTTGAGACGGGGCGGCTTGTGCCTGTCAACTCGGAGTAAAATGGGAGGGGGATCGGGTCATTGCCATGCAGGACGTTGAGTTTTGATACCCAGAATAAAAAAAAAATTAGTCTCGAACCCTTGACACATGGTGTCGCTAATTGCTCAAGTATGACATTTCGAAGGAGGGCAGGGGGGGACAGAGGCGAAAGGAAAAAAAAAAGATCCTGCCCTTTGTTACACATAGTTGTGTCACCCTGTCAAAAAACCCTGTTCATAATCTGCGAGCCCAAAGGAGAAAGAAAATACCGCCATCAAAGGACAAGCCCTCTTTATTTTCTCTCGCGCTTTTTAGTCTTCTGCTGTACATAGAATCTTCATTGGTGCACACAACAAACTCAGAAAGGAGCGACTTGGGCGAGCCCACGAAGATTCCCTGGAGAATTAACAATTCCTTGACCGGCTCCAAAAAGCGACTCTTGGGTTATATCGCTAGTTCTGTCGGGTTGTTTTTTTTGATCGACGATCCTGCATCCTGGACGGCTACCAGCGAGCTGTGAGGACTCGGCCTGTAAACCTTGTTCAGCCATGTTGGCGAATGGGCGGAAGGCTGTCATCAGCGGAACAAAGTGATCAAGAACGGCGCCGCGCTTGGTGTGTTGTGATGATGATGATGATGATAATAATGATGATGGGATGGACGCTGCTTGAACTGGAGAGGTGGCGATGAAGAGTGGCGCCAAGAGGGCTAAGGCGAGAAGGAGGGTGGTGGATTTGGTCATGGTTGAGGTATTGTTATTTGATGAAGTGTTCTGTGGGTGGTGTTTGAGCGATATGGTTGTGAAGGAAAAGGAAGGAAAGAAGAGGCGGGAGAGTACTTGTTCATTAAGGGAGGCAGGAGTCTAAAGGAGAAAATAATGAGGCGGCTTCATAGTCAAGCAAGCATCCAAGGGGAGGCACACCTTGTCCTTCGACAAGCATCCATCCTAATGCCAGTAGTACTGCGAGCTTTTTAGTCGCCGGATCCCTTGTGGTGAATATAATAATGTGTTTTGTTGCGGCTAAAACAATAAAAAGCCGTGCTTTATTTCTTAAATACAACTCACTTTAATACGTCAAGGCACACAGGAACTCCCTAACAAAGAGGGTCAAAAAAAGGTTAGAAAGACCGACCTCAGAAAGAACATAGCCATAATCTGGCCCGCTCCACCACCTTTTGTCCCATTGCTTCCAAGGTGAAAGACATTTCTTAGAGAAAAAAGGCAGTTGACCTCTGCTACTGCATTAGGTACCCCCCTTCATAGTGATGCACAAGGCCGATTGTTAGGTCTAATGGATGCCGAGGACTCCTGAACGCGCCCACCCTCATCAATACAGAGTCCAAAGAGCAAGATCAAGTTGCAAGGCAGGTCACTGCCCATCAAAAGGGAAGGACCCTGGCTTCAAAGACTCCGAGATGCCTCACAGGCACAACATCGCCTTTTGCAAGAGGGCATAGGCAAGAGCCACACGGATGTTCTTGTAATCTTCAAACGGGATCGATGCACTGAAACAATACCCCACCGTGTTGGCAACAGTCCAGGTGAGAGAGCTGCGAGGGGTAGATAGAAACGTACTTCCTTAAAAAAGACGAGGAACCAAAGTCAAACACATGGAGAAGAGAAAAAAAATGCAATAGAGAGCCGACTCTCCGTAGGAGTACACTAGTCGTATCTCGTACCGCCCATAGCTTCCTCACCCATCATCCCATTGCTTCCACGACAGAGGACTTCTTAATAAAAAGGCTGTTAACCGCTGCTATTGCCACAAATACACCTCCCAGAAGCAGTACACAAAGTCCAGTGACTAGGCTTGTGCTGGCCAAGACCCTCAAGAGCGCCTACTCCTATCATAACAGTCTACAGTGCACGGTCATGGTTGCAATGTGGGGTCTCCGCCCGTCAAAAAAAGTGGGACTTGCTCTCAAGAACTCTGAGACCCTCACCAGCGGCACATAGTCACTTCTTGCAAGAACAAGAAGTGGTAGCCACACGGGTTGCCCTGAGATCTCCAACCGGCGCCGATGCACTGAGACAATACCCCGCAGTGTTGGCAATAGTCCGTGCAAGAAAGCTGTAAGGAATATGAAGACATCATCGTAGTACTTCCCATTGCAACCTGACCGTGGCGAGTTGATTCTTGCTGGGATTGAGTAAAGGTGCTTGAAATTGATCGAAACGATGCAGCTGCAAGACAATGACGTCTCCAATGATGATGACGCGTTTTATTACTTTCATCATGAATACAAGTTGACAACGTGGTGGTCAATGCATGCATATTTATTCTGCTGTTCCTTGTCGACCTTTCCTCCATCTGCCACCACGGATCCCAGGTAAGCCCCAGTTCAGGTATCCCCACCTAAATGCTTTTACCTTATTGCACGCCGTAACTCAAAGTTAATTACGCGAATGAAAGAACCCATGAGGCTCCCCGTGTTGCTCCATGCACTACTGCCTTGCATTTGTGTTCGAGCTCAAGGTTAAACAGTGGAGTCGAGAAACGTTTCCAGTGCATTTTTGTAGTTCGGCGAGGTCCATTGACCTCGCGTATTGACAGCTGTGTATCGAGTCGTCCTCTGTCGTGATATTATCCAGAAATATCGTGTTATTCCTTGCGCATGTCTGAGACACAGCTCTTGTATTGAATACACAAACGAACGTAATAGCATTACCGTTAAGGATATTCCTACTGCACGTTGAGAAGTAAATCAAACGTGCGTTAACAACAAACGTTTCGTTTTCTACCTCCATTTAGCGACGATTTCTTACCAATGAGAAGCCCCGCATCGTTTATAACGGAGAAGGACCAGTTTCAATGAACGACTCAGCGGAGTAACTATAGAGCATACCAGGCTTTCTGTGTTGCTGGTTTGCGTTAAGTCTATTAAGTGGAAAGCTATTGATCCAACGAAACGATTGATAGGGGACATACGGCACGTACTTCCGTGCAGCTCTCAATGGAACCAGTGTTGCGATCAAGATATCCTATTGTTCGAACGACAAGATCGGGGCGATCTACAAAAAGGAAGCTGAGATTGTGAAGTTGGCCGACAACAAGCACGTCGTGCGTTATTTGGATTATTTTCAAGTGGATGAATTGGAGCCGTAGCAATGGAGTACTGCACCGGAGGAGTAAGGACATGTTAGCGAAATGATGAATTTTCATTCAGAAACTCACCTACTAAATCATGCAGCCATAGAGTGTCAAGTCCAAACTCGTGGCGAGATGGACAGACGACAACGTGCTTGGCCTGTCCGAAGAGATTGTTGCACCTTTGATGGCCAACGTCGCGGAGGCCTTCATCTATCTGCATGAGACACAGGGTCTTGCCCATCGGGACTTGAAAGCCGAAAACGTGGTGGTAGATGCCTCTGGTCTGGCGAAGGTGTGCGACTTTGGCCAAAGTTTCTGCTTGCAAGACGGCCTGGAGACGTAAGGTGACAGAACTTTGATTCTATTGATTCCCTCTGTGTACAAATTGACAACTCATTAATCCGAGTATATGTTTACCTGCTTAATATGGCCACATGAGGCTCCACAGGGTACCAACCACCAGAGGTTTTACAGAACGCCGAGTACGGAGAAAAGATCAATGTGTATACATTTGGCGTGATGGTGCTCTGCCTCTCCTGGGCACAACGCCAAAGCACAAAGATGTAGAGTCTCTGAACCTGGGGGATATGGCAGAGCCTGCTAAGACGCTGACCGAGAACTTTGTTCGCAGAATTCCATGTAAGTTCGCGTTCATCTATGGATGTAATTAATTAGAATTCCTCATGTTAACGTAAGTTCAACCATCTCTTTAATTTAGGGGATGATCATCGTTCAAGACGCTGTTGTCCTGCGAGATTCATAGCGGGACTTCCAGAGCTTCGAATGCGAAAAGGCCACGCGAGAAAGATAGCGATGAGGACGATGATGAGCATCCCAGAAGCGCCCTGCTGTGTCCACCCCTTCGCCCCCCGCAGCAGCCAACTGTGTATTGACTCCTTCCGTTGCACCCTGTTCACAGTCTCCTGCAACTCCGTCTCCTTCCGCTGTCGCCTCTTCAGCCTCTCATTGCCAATTACCATTCCTCTCTCCAGCTCTTCAGAAGTGCCCAAGTGTCAAGAGCTAGATCTGGATCCACAGATTTGTCGACCATTTCGTTGCCCTCCACTCCATCTTCAGGTCAGCATTCCTCAGTCCAATCGCCAGGCTAATCGGTATCGAATCCTACAGCCGTGTACAAATCCCTCTTTGACAAAGTCGTCCAAGATGTTCCCAACTACTACGCCTGCCGCGCCTGCTCTCCAGCGTAGAAGTACCCCTTGCAAAGAGCCCTCACAGTCCTCTTCCTCGATGGCTTCTTCCGAGAATCTCGGAGATTGGATGCCCTACACAGTTGAGTAAAGTTGGCTGAGCCTCAGACCCGCCATACCCTGGCACAGGCCACATCCAGGGAACCCCGATCGCCCCCCCCCCTGTCAATGCCAATGATAAAGTCGCCTTTAGCGAAGAGGGAGTTGAGTATGGAATGTTCCTGCCTGAACCTCCACTCCCATTTGAGTAGACCGTATTACCGTCGTGTTCGGGACACATCTGTGAGGCGCACTTTTTTCATTTCGTTATTATGTTTTTTAAAACCCCTTTGTAGTGTACACGCCTTTCTCCTTCATCCTTCGTTGTAGCATATATCAACACCTTTCATTTCTTTTGTGGCACCCAGAGAGGACCACATACCATATAAAGTTTCATGCATTCCCTGGGTACGGCTTCGAGCGATCGTCCTATGAGGAGGAAGCGGACAATTGATATATGTGACATGTTGGAGATATGACGGATTGTGCATGCAAAGGGAAGTACGCTCATCAGTCAAACGATTTTTGTTATAAGAGAGTGACAAGGCTGCCGCCAAAAAAAGCCTGGAAAAAACTGGAAGCAAGGATCACGGACAAAGGCCTCACAGAGGAGAGATGATGTATCATGCTTTTATTTCAAACGCATCCAAACCAATGGTCAGTTCGATCGATCGGTTCTTTTTGCTTCTTTTTTCTGAAGTGACAAACCTGGGGGAATGAAAGCGTTTGATAGATAATGACAAGATGTTCACTCCTGTCAGCGGTCGTGGCATTAGGGGTGCATGGTAGTGAAGTGCGCTTTTGTATGAAGAAAGAAGGGAACACCTTTTTTTTTACTTTTTTTTATTTACGCCAGATCCCCTACACATCGTGTCGGCGTGCCGAGCCTGACTAATCCAAGCTGCTAAATTCAGGGAAGGAGGTGTCGGATGACGGCTTTGAAGGTACTGAGCTGTCAGATAGGCCTATCTCCTGGGGCCCCGAATGCCTATAGTTGCACAACTTGGGTCGCATGAATGTCTTGGACTGGCCAGCACCGAGCCAGCCCTCCGCATCTCCTACGCGACCTGTCGGGTCCTCCGCTAGTCGAGATCTCGTGCCAAAAAATTTATGCAGTCTTGCCATGAATGTGCTGCATAACCCTCTCGTTCGCCTCACTCAGACCTTGTTTTGATGAACCGGCTCGTCGACTTGGCAGGCCAAATCCTGTCGGTTTTCCTCCCTTGCTCACTCCCGCCTTCTTTTCTCGAGGTGTTATTCCTTGGGTCTTCCATTCAACCGTCGCCTTGCAACGTACGTGCCATATCTCCGTCCGACCAAATTTCTCAATCGCACCCACAAACTGTCGGACCAGTAATGCGATATTCGACGTCGTCTTGAACAGCTTGATCCACTCCTTGGTCAAGAATGCTGGTGTCAGACCGTGATAAAGATTAATCGTGGCCCAAAAGAAGAGGAACACCAGGCTAACTCGAATCAAAGCACGAATGTCCAGGTGACCAGAGCTGGACAGACAGTAATGAGAATGACCAGAAGAGTGACCACTAAAAAGCCCCGTAAGACTGCAATAAAAATGCCCCGTAAGCTTACTAACATCAAGTGTGTGTGAAATTGTGAACACTCTCATGAACGACGCCGTTTTTTCACTTCACATTGCACTTCACACTCCTCCTCTTGTTTCTTTCTTCAACGCCTGCATGACCACCAACTCGCCATCTCCTCCACTCCCCCAACGACACACAACTCCTCTCATTCTGCAACACACTCGATTTCTCTTATCACTTCTCTCACTATACCTTCCTTGTCTGGCTCTATGAACACACTCACAATATAAACACCAGGTATCTACCTGTATGTCTGTCGACTTGGCCGCTCTTTGTCTCTTCTCTTGATACCAGAAGGAACCTCAACCAAAACGGCACCCTTCTCTTACAAACCCTTGCCTCCTCCTCCTCCTTCATTTACCCAGCCGCCAATAGAAGTTTCTTGTCACCTCACAAAGTATTTAACCAAACCTCGTCTGTTGTTCTGTTCTCCAACTACCTCGTTTTTCACACCACGTAATTATTCCTTACGCACCTCCTTGTCCGTTTCCTCTCTTTGTTTATTTGTCACTCTACAGCTGTCCGCATACCATGGGATGATAGTTTCTGGTTGACGCTCAATTGCATAGCACTTCATGGCTCTGGGCTCATGATATGGGGTAAGTCGTGGGCGGTTATAACCAGCGCCATCGAGGGAAAAGAGTCTATTATTTTGGGTTGTGTGCTCTATATACATTTGGGGTTGTGTGCTATATACATGTAGGGGCGCAAAGGCCGGAGAGGAGGACGAAGTCGCGTGGACTGTCGCTCAAATGTGCAAAGGGTTGGAAAAGAAAAGAAGAATGGAAGAAAACATAATGGGTATAGTATGAAGAGAAGACAGGGTAGGGGTGTCTTTGCTGCGGAGCCGGTACTGACTATCAAATCATTGCTCGTGGGTACCGTTGGGCTGGTCCAGGAACGCAAAATCGGTGAGTTCCTGCTGGCCCTCACCCACAGCCCAACTCAAAATATCGTTCAGGGGATCCATCTGGGCGACGGCGAGCATGAACAATAGATCGGGGTTGGGCGTGATCAATGCCATCCAGAATGGCGTTGCATCTTCGGCAGTCGGGATGTGAGGGAGGTCAACCAGCTCTGAAGCAGCCTCGGCGGTGTTGTAGCATGAGGGGGTTAAGGCGACAGCGTGGGCACTTGTGGACACGGAGGCGGACACGGAGACGGACACAGAGGCGGATACCGGTTGCAAAGAGGAAGTGTCCACGCCATCTAACGCAAAGCGGGTCTCGAGCTCACTCAGCATCTCATCTTTGCAGTCAATTCCCGACCAGCTGCTGCTGTCAGAGAAGGCAGTCTTGCGCTCATCCTCGTCGGCCCCTGATGTCCAGCAATACTCCACAGTTTGCACGTGGCGCCCACCGCTACTCTTCTCGATGGAAGCGGCTGCAGGGTAGGACGGGCTTGAGACCATATGCGGAGGTAACGAGGACGAATGTACCAAGCGCTTCCTGGGTTCGTCGCTGTTCCTTTGGGGTCGCTTGCCATTGACGTTCGTGATCCTCCTCCAGCGAGCGAAGAACTCATACTCTCGCAGCTCGGCGAAAGATACTCGGTCGTCTGATGTCATAGAACAGGGTTCCATAAAAAAACCCAACAACAACAATGGGTGTTAATTAACGTTTACTAAACAATCGCCACCTGACATGATCTTTTAGATGAAACTTACACTGGGATCTCATGCAGTCTTCGATCAGCTTCGTTGCTGCGACGCCTTTCCCCTCCAGTGGGACCCTGCTCTCAGGTCGTATCCCGTAAAGTAGCTGACGGACCATCACACCGAAAGAGAATACGTCGACTTCATAGCCATAATTCGTTTCTTTGTCCAAGACCTCCGGGGCCCAAAACCCTGGCGTCCCGGCACAGTCGCTGTACGTTGTGTAAGCATGTAGTGTTTGGTTAGAATGCATGTAATAGCTGTAATTTCGAACTATTAGACAGTGTTTGTACTCAAATTGAAAACCCCATTACTCACGTCAATAAACCTTGCGATGGATAGAAACTAAGTCCAAAGTCGGCTACTCGGGCGTTTCCTTGAGCATCCAAGAGAATATTGGATGGCTTCAAGTCTCTATGCACCACGCCAAGCTCATCATGGAGATAGATGCAGGCCTTGAGAACTTGCCACATCCACCTTGAAACGTCCTCTTCGGGAAGACCCAATATTTTCTCCTTGGTCCATCTGCATGCCAATTTGCCATACAGATCCTATGTGGCAAGATGTCAGTTGGTTAGTACACAAGAGATGTAAGCGTACGTGTTTGAAGGCCCAAGACATTTTTAACTAATGCAAACTTACCCCTCCTTCATATAGGTCAAGCACGAGGATCGTCAGGTCGCCCATCTCGAAGCTATCGTGGAACTGGATGATATGCTGGTGGTGCAACATAGACAGGATTCGAGCTTCGTTCGTTGCCACCACCTTCCTGTTAGGTTTCTCGGGAGGGCAGTACGATACTTTCATGACGAACTCGTCATAATCCGCGATTGCCTTATAGCACACTCCAAAGGCACCACCTCCCAGTATCGTGTCGCATATATACATCTTTGTGCCATGGTAAATGACGAGAGGCAGCTTCCTAGCCCGAAATTCTCCCTATATGTTGATTGACAAGGATAATGCAATCGATTAGCATCGTTTTTTTTTATATTTCTCTTCACTAGGTGTAGCACTGTGAACATGGGTGGTCCAACTGTGGATGTAATATTGAGTGATGGCATTGATTCAGGACAAGAAGCGGCAGTGCCATCAGCCTTCTCTCGTTCGCCTCCCACATCATATCAGGCGCTCTCCACTGATTCCCACGCTGTTCAACACACGACAATGACTCTCTGCGAGATATTGGCAATGAATTGGAGTCGCCAAGGATCAAAAGGATAGACGATTACAACTTCACTCAAAGCAAACAACTGGATTGGGACCAGGGTCCGACAAGGTTCGCCAGCGTGTGGGTCCCATGGGTCTCATGGGTCTCATGGAGTCCAACAGGCAAGGTTGATGCAAGAACAGTGTTGAATGGCGTAGCAACGTTGACATCAGGACGTGTCCCTCCGCTTCTTTCACTTTGTGGCACGGAAAGAGAAAATTGGAACGACAATAGCAATGTATGTGACATACCTGGACGTGGATGTTGCGAGGGTCCATTGCTGAAGTCATGGTTGGAGGTTGAGGAGGAATCAGTTTAGTGAACTTTGTGTCGTCTGTCTTAATAAATGATGTGCTTTGGCCAACCTTTGCTCTCAATTGACGTTAAATAGACGCAGAGACTCAGCTGCGGTGAATGAATGTGGAAGCCGTCGCTGCCACCGAAACGTGTGGCTGATGTGGCTGATGTGGCTGACCTAAGGACCTAAGGTCGATGGTGCCATGGTGTTGAATTCTCGACGATGAGGGTATCAAAACGAACGGTTCAAATTGGCAACGGTGGGCGTTGATAAAAGTGAATGTATGTCGGTTTCTGAATCCAGGAACAGGTTTGCCAGGCACCATCACCATTGATAACAGCTCCAGGTTTAAGACAGGTTGGTGATATTTGAACCAGCTTTAGCCTATCAGTTTCAAGGCTTAATAGTCTCAGCCACCAGGCCAGCCACCATCAGTCAAATGAACTTATTCCCATCTTCACCTTTCACACGCAATCCATCACACATCTCGTGCGCCATTCCTCGTTTCCTCTGTTTGCTCTGTCTTCAACCACTTCGATTCGACTCGATCATCTGCGCGATCTAAGACCAAACTCAGGAGCTGGCATTCGTTGCTCTCGGTCTTCTAGATTTTCTCAAGGAAAGTGCAAAAAAACGTCGCCATCGACTTCCCTTCAACGAAACTCTCGCATGGACTATTCGCCAACACTTTGTTGGTACCGTTTCTTGGATGCAGATGTCCTTAGCAGGACCCCTAGGTTTAGTACCTGTGGTCTTGCTTTTGTCCTCTTGGCAAAAGCAACGTTGTTTCCCGCCAACATACTGCGGAATCCTCTGGAAAAGCACTCATGGCCCCTCCTAGGGTGCAAGAGATCCCACTTTGCAGCTTTGACCCTGCTCTGTGGCCTCTTGGACTAAAGAGGGTAGTCGCTTCCAGAGGCCCATGGTAGATTCATTTACGTTATCCACAGGAACTGGGGGCCGGTTCGGAGGTGCACTGAGCAGCCGTAGCAGGGGTCAACTGCCTCTGATATTTATTGTCATTGTCCTTCATTGTTGGGAAGCGAATAGGAAGAATTGCGGGAGACTCGTTGGATGGACGCTGCACTCTCTAGAAAGTCGGTCTTTCTAACGGATTTTTCAACTGTATTTTCCTTGTTTGACTTGGAGCCTCTTTAGGTCTATCTTCCATAAACAACCTGTTCGATCAAAAGGGAAGTGCAAGGACGTCAACAATTGATTCAATGACACTGCTTTATTTTCACAGGAACTATTCGCCAACACTTTGTCGGTACCGTTTCTTGGATGCAGATGTCCTTAGCAGGACCCCTAGGTTTAGTACCTGTGATCTTGCTTTTGTCCTCTTGGCAAAAGCAACGTAGTTCCGTCATTGTATTTCGGAATCCTCTGGAAAAGCACTCATGGCCCCTCCTAGGGTGCAAGAGATCCCACTTTGCAGCCTTGACCCTGCTCTGTGCCTTCTTGGACTAAAGAGGGTAGTCGCTTCCAGCGGACCATCGTACTTTCAATTACGTTATCCACAGGCACTGGGGGCCGGTTCGGAGGTGCACTGAGCAGCCGTAGCAGGGGTCAACTGCCTCTGATATTTATTGTCATTGTCCTTCATTGTTGGGAAGCGAATAGGAAGAATTGCGGGAGACTTGTTGGATGGACTATGCACTCTCTAGAAAGTCGGTCTTTCTAATACATTTTTCAATTGTCTTTTTCTTGTTTGGCTTGGAGCCTCTTTAGGTCCATCTTTCATATACAACCTGTTCGATCGAAAGGGAAGTACGAGGATGTTAACAATTGGTTCAAACGCGCTGCCATTTCTGCACGGGAACCATTTGCTTTCACGTTGAAGGTACCATTTCTTGGATGCATCTTCGCTGGGAGGATCCCTAGAGTATGTCTGTGGTCTTGCTTTTGTTCTCTTGGCTAAAGCAACGTAGTTCCGTCAACGCATTGCGGAATCCTCTGGATAGCGCCCATGTCTGCCCATCGTAGGGTGCAAGAAACCCCACTCTGCAACCTTGACCCTGCTCTGTGGGCTTTTGCACTACAGAGGGTGGTTTGCTTTCTAAGGGCTCTTGGTACTTGCAATTCCGTTATCCACTGCTACTGGGAACCGTGTTTGGAGGTGTACCGGGTAGCGTGGCAGTCGGTTAACTGAATTTGGTGGGTTATATGTCTTTGTCCCTGAGTGTTGGAATTTATGGGGTGATGTGTAGGAGGAATGTGGGCTATATGAGTTTATGCGCTTTTGGACGGTCGGTCTTTCTAGTCTATTTTTTTTGTCGCTGTTCTGGTTGCTTAGACGGCCTTGTTCATGACTGTTCATAGCGATGGTATTAGTGAACACGAGGATAATTAGCATATCAATTAAAGGTACCACTTTTTTTTTCTATGGCAACTCTATTGCCCTCTGAATGTTCATGGGACTTATAACTAATCTCCCTCTTCCTCTTCCTCCTTTCTCCTTCTCCTTCCATCACAACCAACAAAGAAACGTATCCAAAGCACGCGACACATATTCAGGTACGAGTGTCAGATACAGTCTTAACCATCGCCTTTTTGTTTCACTTATACCTCCTAGAATCTCATCCATTGTGGATACACATCGTGATCTTCTGTCGCAGGAAGTCGCTCTATGATTACGGTCTCTCTATTGCCGCTGTTCTATTGCGATCGGAGCTCCTTACAGGCAAAAAAAAAAAAAAAAAGGGGTCGTCTTTAAGAAACGTGTTCAGGAGGATACTTCGACTCCAAACAGTTCGTTTGTTGAGATTCCGACAAAACGCCATCAATTTGAAAGACCGCACCTGGCTGGCCACAATTATTTTTGTTGCCAATAAAAAATCAAGGTCTCAAAAAAACGACCCCCCTACGCGAGACCCTGACAGCTCTTCAAAAACAACCTTCCTTCCTTCACTCCCTTGCCTCGCATTCATCAACTTACAACCTCAGCATTCATTCAACACGCGAGAGCAGCCATGAACCAACTCGCGGAATCAACCCGAGCAACCATCAACTCCCTAAAAGCTCATGCCCTCCTCTCCAAGGCTCTCGCCAATGACCCAAAGCCCACACCTGGCTACCTCTTCCCTGAACTCGCTCGTAAGTACACACCAACCTCCCTTCATCGCAACTGTCAGCTCTCCTATGAAACAAACGTGATTAACAAGCTCGCCTTTACGCGCTTCTCTTCTTAGGCCTGACACAATCCTCAGGGACCTGCACAGCTGTCCTTTCCCAGCTCCTTAAAGCCATCACACCCACCGGATACTCCGCCTCCTCCTCCACCTCTACCACAACTTCGACATTCATTGGGCAAAGCAACTCCGCAGTACCAGGAACAGGGACAGGACTCTCACAGGGGCAATCATCAACATCCTCAACCTATGCGTCCTCCCCGCACGTTATTCTGAAAGCACTCAAGATCCTCCGTCAATTGGCTCAGAGTGGGTCTGTAGAGTTCAGGATCCAGTTGGCGCGGGGCGGGAAGGGGCCTCTGTCGGAAGTGGTTGGGTATCGGGGTGCTTGGGATGAGATCCATGGAGACCGGTTGAACGAGGATATCAGGACCATTGCCGAGGTACATTGACCAACGCTATTGGAAATTGTCGATTATGGGCTGGCGCGCTGTGTGTGTTTTGTAGTAGAAGAAAAAGTGAAGCCCCTAACCACGTCGTTTTGTTCTTGCATGGAATAGGATCTGATTGAGTACATGCATTCGAACCCAGTCCAGGACCACGAAATCCTCGAGGCGCAACAGAAATGGACTGACAGGGAGTCAGCCGTTTTGCGGAATAATACCCAAGGTCTCCCAGGATATGGCAACTCAGGTACATTACTTCAATTTCTATCGACCAAAACATATCTGCCATCACCACGAAACTACGTCTAACTCAAGTTGCCATTCACAAACTCCAAATGATGTTAGATTACGAGGACTCGGACAGTGATGGCAATACACGGCGATCAAGCAGTGTTCTCCAGGAGACTACATCAACGTCAAAGACGAAACCAAGGAAGAAGACAGAGAAGAAAAGAGAAGACGCAGCGTCACCTCCACTACCGGGATTCGGGAACCCAGAATTCGAACAGCTGAACCCTCAATCAGGTAACTGCCACAGAAAATATGGTCAAACCCACCACGCGTCCCTGTGAATTGCGGAGCAAAGATTAGTTACATGGTTATTAATCCTCTTTGCTCTGCTGTTCGTGTAAGTAGAACCGACGCTGATGTCAAAACTGTTTGATAGGATACAGGACCTGACTGCACCGCCACCACCAATAGCAATGCAAGCGGCCTACCGCCAGCAGGAGCAACGACGTCAGAAATTGTTTGTAGGCGAGTATAGCATGCACCACCCCGGACAACACAGCGGTAACCCACGGAACACCAAAGACAGTGGCGGTATTGTGATGATGGGGACGAATCCTTTTAAACGAACGCACAGAGTTCAGGGTCTTGCTGGTGGGAGATGGGCTGACAGTACACCGGGAGGTGCGGGAGTTGGGACAGAGCAGGATGTGTACGCGACGAATAGGACTTTTTCGATCCCTCGCGTGGATCATACGCAGTTCAGGAACACGACCTCGGCGATGGTTTACAGTCTTGCACAGCACATCCAGACTAACTATGTCAGGACGCAACTACAGCAGGAGACGTTGTTGGCAGTTAGGGATGACAATGACCATCGGCTTGCGGTTTGGGGAGTTGCTGGAGAGGTGTGTGCGGTGGTGGTTGAGGGTATCAGGCAGGAGTCGCTCATTTCTGCCGAGCAACCTCAACTTTTCAACAATGAGAACGAAAGTACTGACTATGCCTCAGTACTACAGCCGCCGGCAGTCCCGACGATGACTGGTATCTTGCGCGATATGGTTGATTGGATCGAACAAGAGACCTGGGAACGACGGCTCGTAAGTCATCTTAGCTCACCTTGTTGACAACTCTCGCGCCTTTCCAAGTCATATGGCGCCTCTTAACTCACACTCCGATTACCATGTTGTGATTAGAGATACCTGTTTGTGCTGGATGCTCTGTTGGCCCATTGGACGACTCGTCCAGAAGTCATCTCCTGCACGGCATTGCCAATACTCGTCCAGACTCTAACCGGCGCACGCTGTCAAAATGCCTCGCAAGTATCGATCAGCGCCATTTCTCGTCACGTAAGAATTGCCCTCCTACTTTTGCTAAGAGTCCAGATTTCAATATATATATATTATCTTTCTGTGCGTTTCTAACTTCACTTTCGTCTTTTAATAGCTGACAGAATATATTGAGCAAGAACTTCGCCACTTAAACTCCCCGACGTCTAGGCTCAAAGACTCGCCAACACCAGCCATCACGCTTCCAGATGTCATGCTCCTCGACATTGGTGCCTAAATATTCCCTTTCGCTTTTTCTAGCGCCTGCAAATAAAGCAAACGTAAACATGTGTTCTTTGTGCCTTAAAAATGGGTAGTTTTATTACATGTATTGAGAAAATAAACAAAAGTTGAAGTGTGGAAAAAAAAAAAGAGATGCAGGAACAGGAGATAGCCAATGCACTTGATGCTTATCAATGGCGCCCACGTTTGCGCTCGTCATCTCGGGGTGTCGAACTTGCTCCTCTCTTCCGCCTTATTTCATCTTCGCGATCCCATCGCTCCTAAAGCGTAATTAGTAATGCGATAAAGAAAGAAGAAAAGAAAAATAACGGTCATGGTTAGATATCCTGCTGCAAAAAAGACTTTTGAGAAGCAAACGATCCTTTTCAAAAATGTCCCAACAAGTTAAGCCAAGGGAAGCTTAGGTGGAGAAAGGTACCTTATCCTTATCAGACTGCGACTTGTCCTTTCCACCACTGCCACTTCCACTTCCGCTTCCGCCACGACGGTCATCATGCCGATCTGACCTGTCACGATCCGAGGACCGGTGATGATCGCGGTCACTTCTATCGCGATCCCTCGACTCGCCACCACGGTCCCTGTCTCTGTCAGTTCGTGAACTCCTCTCTCTCTCCCGACTACTTCCACGTCCTTCCCGGCTAGACACACGGCTGCCATCACGATCACGGTCACGTTCACGCTCGCGGTCGCGGTCACCCTTCTCGCGATCTCCTCGATCACCACCACTGGACCGATTGTCGCGGTGGTAATCGCGGCTGCTCTCACGGTCCCTGGTCTCCCCACGGCTGCTACCTCCACCGCCGTCTCTCGACTCACGCTGGTCACGGTCAATGCTACCTCCTCGAGGGCTACCGTCTGCCTCATCACGCTCATGCTTCACCATAGGCGACCCCTGACGCCCAAAAGATCCTCCTCCTTGCTGAAAGTTCATACCTTGGTTGGGTGGCGCACGTCCTCCAGGGAAGCCAGGCCCACCGGTATTACCGCCCTGACCTCCTGCTCCTTGACCTGATCCAAAGCTATTGTTGTTGTTGGCGCCATCCCATTGGTTGTTGTTGAAATTGCCTCCGCTCGCTCCTGCAGCCGGTCCACGAGGTATTTGAGCACCTGCACGGAAGTTATCAGACGGAGGACCACCACGGCCGCGACCAGCACCTCCAGCCGCGCCGCCTCCCATCATGCCTCCACGCATACCAGGAGCGTTACCTCCACGTCCAGCTCCGCCCCCAAACCCGCCAGGTCCAGGCCGGTTGAATCCACCATCTCCTCCAAAATGAGGTGGTCGACCACCCTGCTGGAAATCTCCGCCCTGGAAAGAATCATCGTCATCCCCACCGTTGGGGCCAGTGCTTCCATTCCGCTGAAGGTTCGGGCTCCTATCATTCTGTCCATCGAAATCGCCTCGTCCAGCACCACCAGGACCGCCAGGACCGCCAGGACCTCCAGGACCTCCAGGACCTCCAGGGCCACCTTGAGGATTGTTAGGCAGAGCGAAACGGTTACCACGACCGGCACCGCTGCCACCAGGAGGACCTCCACGCTGCTGGTTCATTTGGTTCATCATGTTGGGCATACCCCCCATGTTCATACCCATCGGCATTCCTGGGCGTCCCATCATGTTTGGCATACCAGGCATACCGCCCATCATCCCTGGTGGCATCCCTGGCATCATACCGGGCATACCGGGCATACCGGGCATCATTCCTGGCATTCCTGGCATTCCCGGCATTCCTGGCATTCCTGGCACGCCCATTCTCAGCTCTGGAGGCAGATCCATCAGCAAACTTGGGTCGATATCAAAGCCCTATCATATCATATTGAAGTGTATGCGTTAGCTTTCGTCGTCTTGGATAACACAGAAAAACAAGAGGATTTTGGTGCTGAAAACAGATATGATAATATACCTTGCCGCCAGCAAAGGGGTTATCGCGCATCATCTTTTGCTTATGACAATAAGCCCTCCAGATATTCTCGTTGAATCCATAATTGAAGTAATCCGTCAAATCAGCTCCAGGTTTGCGCCATGGCTTGTCCTCGGCACCATCCAGATCCACATCAAACAGTTCGACACCGTCTATTGCTCCGACCGCATTGATGTCGACACCGCCGGGTTTTGTTGCTGGGATTACATCGACTGTACCGTCTGCCTTTGTCACTGTCGTCGTTCCTGGTTTGGCGGGTGTTGTCGCCTTGATGTTCACAACTGTCTGTCTAGTTATGTGGAAGGAAGATACAGGTTAGAGAAGTTGAGCACGCGCAGTTCATTACGTGCAGTCCAGAATGAAATGAACCTGAGAGAGCACACAGTATTAGGCCGCAGTGGTTTACTTTGAGGGTCCAGCGGCATCTCTACTATCCTCGTTATCCATAACAATCTCGATATCCTATAACATTCAAAGTGATGAAACCAATCATCAGTAACCAAATAACATTCTGTTTGTGGTATCAACCACAAGAGCAAAACAATCAAGCAAAGGCGATAGAACTTACAGATTCGCTATCCTCGTCTTCATCATCCTCATCCTCATCTGACCCTTCCTCCTCCTCATCGTCATCACCGTCACCATTGGCCTCATCGTCGTCGGCTCCACCATTCTTGGCCGCGGCATCTGAGGCATCTTGAGTAGCGCCTGTTGTTCCTGGCATGACCCTGACCTCTGTCGATCTAATTTGAACAAAAAAAAAGTGTAGGCGGTAGAGAATAGCAGTGATGGATTTGTCAGACAATAGTGACGATAAAAAAAAAACTCGATGGCGGCGACTTTCTCAAACATTGAACAAACATCCTGTGCCCCCACAAAAAAAAGTGACATACTTGGATCCGCCTTCGCCGCCGTAGAGATCAAATGCATCGCTGTCCTGGCCTACATTATCAAAGAGCCGCAAAAAAAAGAATACCACTGTTAGGTCCCGCTGCAATACACACCAAGAAAGGCACCCGACAAAAGGTTCATTCGAACGCGAAAGGATAAGCCCCCTGAGGCTCTTGTGATTGGTGTAGTTACCAGCTACTGCGGGAGCGGGGGCGTTGGTAGTGGGTTCCGAGGAGCCGTATAAGAACTCGTCATCGTCGTCAATGTGCGACATTGTTGCTAGTTGTTTCCTTCTTCGTTGATCACTAGAGACGGCGGTCGTGTGTTGCTCGTGTGAAAGGAATTAAAGCTCCAGTTCAGACAATGGCTATGTAGCGACTGGTATTGTTTCTCCAGTGTTCCTGCGTTCCTGATGTGCTTGTGATGTGAGGCAAGCCAAGGCTGAGTGCGGAAGGATGGAAGGATGGGTGGGCAAGCAGGATGAACGGAGGCGAAGGAGTTTATGTGAAGAACAAGAGGGATGCGCGTGAACGTTTGTGCCTCCCATGCAAAACGAAAGTGAAAAGCTGATCTCTAACCGGCTAAGCCACCATATCCTCTGAACCGCGCAAGAAATTTTGGTAGACCCGCGTCGTCGTTTACATTTTTCCTTTGTCCCCGTTGTGCATTCTTCAGATATATACTTTTACTCACCCCCGTGTATAAGACATGAGGTGACAAAGAACCACGTCAATTGGTAAGCAAAATGAACAATACATGCAAAAATCCATGATCAATCTATGAAAAGGTCTATCCTTCACATCCTCTCGTTCCCATTAACAAAAGACAGCTCACCCTCCCTCCGCCCAGGCTTGTTTAAAAATCAATCCCCCTCTCCCTATCATACGCATTCACGTCCAAAACCACCCCACTCCTCGTCACCCCAAACCGCTTCCAGCGATTCGGTTTCGGCTTCTTCCTCCCACCCTTTCCTCCAACACCCGCCGCACCCTCCTCCTCAAGCATAGCCTCACAAACATCATGCTCCAACACCGTAGAAGCCTGCAACTCACACCTCGTCTCGGCTTCACAAACCGTCCCCCACAGACACTCCTTCGCCTCCGCCGACGATTTCGACTGGTACCGAATGTACTTTCCAAACAACCCTGCGTCATCCTTCATCCTCTCTACGGCGCTTTGCCAGAATGCCGGGGAGAGGGGTTCTCCGGCGGGGAGAGGGTGGAGTGGGTCAGAGTAGGTTGAGCGAGCAGAGTATTCGAGGATCCATTCGGGCTCTAGGTCGTGGGATTCCCAGTAGTCGGCTTGAGTTATGATGTCGGCTGTCACTGTGTGGGAGTCCAGGATTGAGAATGTTTTGGGGTCCACATCATACCATCGAATCGCCTATTACAAAGAAAAAAAAACGAAGTCGATTAGTATACACCTCCTGGGATGACACAAAGCAAGTAATTGACACCTAAAAAAAACTTACAGGGTTGGCCTTGTCGAGGGGTGTGATACTGGGTCCCTGGTACACAACATTAACAGCCGACGCCTGGGTACGCTCCTCAGCGTCAGGGTCGTGCATGACAATAAACTTGTCCTGGTGATAATGTCCCGTAAAGATCCCTGCAATAACATGAGGAGAGTATCGGGCGACGACCCTCTGGAACAGTATCGAAGACCGCGGAAGCGTCAATGTCACAGGCGCCATGTGTCCCATTATCCAGACTATTTGAAAGTAAGATAGAAAGGTGGATTAATAATCGTACTTGATTTGATCCGCATACTGAAAGACGTCTCCGTCAAATGTCCAACTTCTTCAAACAAGTAGAGTGTTATAACAGTACCTCGCTCATGCCGATCCTCGCTATCCTGCAGTTCCAGAATCAGATCATGAAACAATCCGGAAGGGTCATCCTGGTCAGTGTCCAGCATATTGTAGTAATTGCGGACGTAGAACAGATCCGTGTTCAACGTGATCAGCTTCAACCCTGGCATGGGTCTCGTCATGAACATGGCGTTGTGAGACCGTGCATAGTCTGCCTCTATCGACGTGATCCATTCGTTCTTTTCCCACACCGTCGCTACATGGTCGTACAACCTACATAAAGCAGTAAAATCAAAAGAGAGTTAATTGACATATTTACAACTAGCGCTATTATCGTGGACGATCGTCAATGGGTTTAAATAATAATAGCAACAATTATTTCGCAGACATACCACTGATGCGTAGAATATTGCTCCGGTTTATGTCGCGCTGGCGCCTGATCGCTCGGGTACGAATCATGGTTCCCCAACACCACATACAGTCTCACCTCCTGCAGATACTTCTTAAACAACTCATAACTCGTCTTCTCCAGATCCGCAACATACTTTTCCGTAATCAACCACGAATCATGGCTCACAATATCGCCTGTAAACAACCCAAACGTCGCATTAGGGACAAACCTCTGAATCGCCTCCAAAGCGCTCAATCCCAAAGCAATTGGGGTATCACACTTGGGTTCGCCCCATTTCGACGCCCGCTTCTTGATCGGCCCAGGGTCATTCCACGATCCAAAATCCCGACAGCAGATGTTGTGGCTGCATTTGGCTTCTGTGCCCGGTCGGTAGAGGGGGTCAAGATGCCAGTCTGAGAAATGGAGGACTTTCATGGATTGTCCACTGGGTGGTGGTTGTGCTGCGTTGGCTGGTTTTGGTTTTGGGAAGATGGTGGGGTTGGCGGGTTGGTGTTTGGGGACGGGACATGATCCTGGGAAGCTGTAGGCGCAGGCGTAGTATCCGTCTGACCCGTCGACGTCCATTTGTGAAAAGATCTCTGCCAACTCTGGTCCCAACCGCACCATCAGTCCTATCGTCAGAAAGTTACAAAAAGGGTTTGATGATCAGTTATCAGATCAACAACCAAAAACAACAACAGCGTTCATCTCAGTGAATGCTTAACAGTCTCACATATTGATCATCAAAATCCAATATCATCCTTCGTACCTGCACATGAATCAAGTCGCAGGAACGAATACCTCGCACATAAAATCCTCAACACCCCTGGAACCAGCTCAGGCGCCTCCAGGGAGAACTCTTGTGCCATTTTCATACCCCTCCGACACATCTGACAAGAGTCCAGTGTAGTTGAATTGAGTAGGTCCTCAAACTCCTCAATGACTTTATCAGACTTGTAGAGCTGAGTCCGGTAGTGTGCTGGATCGAGGTCGGTTGTTGTCTGACGCTTGGTAGTGTCTGGTGTGAGCGAGGAGGAGTATGGGAAAAAGGGTGCTGCGTATGCTATTGACGGTGCGCTTGGAGTTATGATTGTTGATGCTAAGAGTAGTGCTGAGGCTAGGAGGAAGTATGTTGTGAGGGATGACCCCCTTCGACGAGAAGACGAGGTCATTGGAGTTGTTGTGGAAGGGTAAAGGGGGGAAGGGAGGGAGGGAGTGGGGATCAGGCAGATGGTGCCAGGAAAAGTAAAGAGATCGGGGGTGATCGGGTATATGGCGAGTTTGGTGAATGAACGAAGGAGAATGAATGTGTAAGAATGGAAGAAGAGAAAGGAAAGAAGCCAGAGTTTAAGGGATTCTTGCGCCCAAACGGCACAGCCCGACTTTCTCGACCTATTTTTACGCCATGTTTTTGTATTGAAGAAAAATGACTATGAAAGGCCCAACTATATCCCTCAGACCCCCTTTTTTTGTGCTCGCACGCCTGCCCCTTCAAGCAAAGCTTGTAAGCTAATCCAATGGTGACGCCACGTTACGACGATTCTGCAACAGCAAGTCTATTATCATGATAGAAAGAAAAATACACATGTTAGGCAACTATAGACAATTGTCCACTGCTACACCTGGCCAACAACGAGAACAGAAAGGACGATATAAACTTACTTCTTCAAGTGCTCCATAAAGACTTGGAGGGAGACATCATCCGTAAAGATAGCCTGGCCCTGTGGCGCATTGCCATACTGACCACCAGAGGCATGTGTTGTCGAAGGGTTGAGCTTGGCCAAAAGGAAGCGCTGCTGAGATCCACCCTGGTCACAGACAATATAACGTGGGATCGGGAACCGCTCCACCAACAGCTCCTGAGAGCTCACCACTGGTGCCTCCAATAACTCCTTGAAGTTCTCATATCCTTCCTGTTCATGGTAACCCGCCTTTCTCCATGCCGCAATAGTCTCTCCGTGGAAGATTAAAACGTAGAAGAAAGTGTCCAACAACAAGACCGTATCCGGCTTGACCGACACACTGTCCAGCAGCACTGGCTGTGGCTCGCCGTCAAATCCATACGACATCAACGTAGGCTGGATCATGATCAGCGAGTTGTTGACATCTTCCCGGTTCAGTATATGACGGTTGTATGCGGTCTCGTCAGGAGAGCTGTTGAACACCTGTAAGAACTGAGAACGACGGAGATGGAACATGAACTGGGGGTAGATCGAAAAGTTGTCGTTGAGTCGGAACGACTGGGGCTCATCCTTGCGGTAATCTCCAAACTTTTGGCAGAGTCGAATCAACATCCTGTCCAGCCAGCGAAGAACATCTGGACCATCGTCAATCTCTGCCTTGAACACTGCGATACGCGCCATAAGCACTGCTGCTGTCTCCTGATCGAACGACTGTGCGATAATCGGGCTGTTTCCTTCTGCCCAGCTAATATCACCATTTCAACGAAATGACGCGCGCCAGTTCATCTCAATGTTAGTATTTGGTCATAACGGTTGTGAAATGTCCTATTGAGAACAGAAAACGAGTTCCTTACCTGCGGGCGACGGTGGTGACGCGGAGCTTGAAGTGTCCGCTAGAGTGCTGGTAGTGGGTAACAAACTGGACGAGGCCGCGTGAGCCAGGTTGCAAAACTTGGTCCTGTTGATTGACGACCTCAAAATAGATAGCGTTGGTCGTCTTGGGGCTGACGGCGCACATCTTCCATGCCGAGGTGTTACCGATACCAATCTCCGTTTCGCCAACCGATGCCGTCTTCTTGTCCGCCGACACTGCATGACCGATCAGTCCGCAAATCTTGAGTTCCTTTGTCGTCTACACTCAGCAAAAGTAGAAATAGACGTGTCAGTTTCATTAGGTTATACTCCGCATATAATACAAATCTGTTACCGTCCTCAAACATCCTCATTTCCGTACCTGAACTGCAAGAGTGGCGTTGAAGCCCATCTTGAGGTTGCCCTCTGCATCCTTTTCAAACATCTTTTGGAAACTCTGCTTGAAAATCGCCGTTGTGAACGAATCAGAGATGACCATGGTTCCCGCCGTAGAGTTGACCATTGACCTCATCTCCAGCAAGCCAACTTGATCCAAACATCCTGCAAAGATGTCAATGGCATGTCCATTGGTCGATGCTCTCTTGGCCAAGCTCTCGTAGAACTATTATTTCAGCATGGGAAAAGTATAACGCGTTAGAAAATTTGCGCACATTCTAGCATTGCTACTTAGAAGTAGAGATGAAGCAAAAGTGTACCTTTGACGCCTTTTTGTAGTGCTTGACATCGTCCTTCTCGATATCATGATGCGACCTCAGACGCTCCTTGAAATCAGTTCCAACAACCATTCCCGGACCCTCCGAGCAGGCTCCTCCAACAAACAACATAATGCGACCACCAGTGTTCTGATATGTGGCCTCCAACAACCCAACCGCGACACTCACAGCAACACCCGTGCAGCGTTGAGCACGCTTATCAGTCGCCACTGGCCATGGATCGCGCTGAAGCTGCTCAAGGATCGATGACAGATTGTATTCACATTGTTGGACAGGGAGCAAGAACCGCGACCCCCCGGTAGGGACAAAGGGTGCAGGCTGGCCCGGTCGAACAGGTTGCTGAGGTCGGTTCGCCAGAGCTGTGAGTCCGAGCATTTCCTGGATCTGTTTGCAAGAGTAATCCTTGCTTCCTCGGAACACGTACGACTTTGGACATTCACCATATCCCAGCTCGTGCACTTGGGTCTAACAAAATGTCGAAGGAGATGGGCCCGTTTGAGGCACATGTTAACAACAATTATCAAATTCGAGTTTTCACCATAAAGTTCAGTGAGAGAGCTCTTGCAGAGACAATAGCAAGATCAATTATGAGGGATCACTTCATACCATGGTACCATAGGTGATCAGACCAACAAGGGCATGAGGAGGAAGCAGACTGAGCGAGACCACTAACGAGTCCTTCAACGCCTTGAGATCTTCATCATCAATACATGTATCGACCACATAGAGAAAGATGGGCGGCACCTGAGCACTCCTTGCAAGCGTGTATTCGATGGTCGTGTGCTTGGCCAGTAGCTCTGCGGGGAGGTTGGTGTTGGAGATATCGCGGTAATGAGGAGGGAACTGGTTGCGGTGCAAACAGAACGGGCAGATCCATAGCTTTCCTCGAGGATCGATCTGGCTATTGTTGTTGGCAGGTTCAAAAGGAAGAAAGAAAGGGGTGTTAAACAGCGAAGGTGTCACGTTTGCCAATGAATGACCTGTTCCTCATCTGAGCAAACCGCCATTCGTTGTGTGGACAAAAAGGCACTTTTGTTATCCTCTGCGTTCACATCCTATCTCCTGTCTCTGAACGAAACAGTAGCAAGCAACAAAAAAAAAAGTAACCAAGCAACTCCCTCATTACTCACCAGTAAGGGTTGAGAATGGCACCACAAGTATGCTGTTTACAAGTAACGGGTTCATAGTAGATCAGCGGCAGATCGTCGCGCTCCTTTAGAGGAGTGTAGAGAGCAGAGATGGGAACGACTGTTCTGGTGGCTTCTATGCGTGATGCTGGCCAGGCATTGAACGAGAAGCGGATTCCGTCCTGGTCCTCGATTTCTTCAAAGTTCATGGCTATGGTTAATTAGTTGTGGGTGGTTGTTGGCGGTGGGTACGATGCGGGGAAAGAAAAGGAAGTGTGGCAGATAGGCGTGCAATTAGTTGTTCTGGGTGTGCAAAGTGGAGAACGAAAGAGAGTGAGCAGGGGGGAAAGGGAGAAGGACCATGGATATGAAAAAAAGGGTCGTCATTCTTTTTCAAGCTGAAGAATCCAAGGGGCAGACGTGCTGCAGGCCACGTACGGGCCACCTCTCGATCCACTTTGATACGTGTCACGAATTGAAATGAAATGAAAAATGAAAATGGATATGACAAAGTGCCGACTCGACTGTATTCTTTGCTTAACCCATCTCGCCAACACTCTACACTATCTACCAGTCGTCGTCGTCCAGGTCGTACTTGGGTCTCTTGGGCTAAAAAAAGGCATGAATACAGAGAGATAGCTATTAACATATGCCTTCTCGGAAAACACGCTATACCTGCACACACGTAGTAAAAGCAACGACATAGATACTTACATTCCGCACGGTAGAAGGGGCGAACTCCTCTTCAATCACATACGCACTACCCGAACCACTAGCGCCCACATTGGCCCTGGCATTGCCACTCGCACTAACACTGGTACTCGCACTGGCGCTGGCATTCGCCTGGGCAGCTTCAATCTCTATATCATCCAGTTGCGAGGCCCAGTCTGCATCGTCATCCAAGAACAGCGCGTTCTCCGCCTGTGTCAAATCCAGTCCTTCTAGAGCCTATTACAATGATAAATAATATGATCAAAACGTAGGGAATCAGTCTGCTGTCAGACGATGGACGAAGAGTAACATGGTCCTTGTTGAGCGTCTCCCTCAGAGAAGTAAAACCGCGAGCACTTACTGCGCTTTGACTCGCTTGAGATTGAGATGGCTGAATACTCTTCTCTCCAGGAATGTTGATGGTTGCCAACGCGAATTTCTATACAAATCAAAGGAACGATACAACGATCAGCTATGCTCCAACCATCAATTGCACTTGTTCAACTATTGCCGTCAAAAGGTAGTACAAGGGTAGACACTTACAGCACTCACGACGTTCTCGGACTCTGCAGTAAAAACAATCGGCCTATTTGTCGAGGGACAGGGAGACAGCATCATGTAAACAGTCATTCTGATTCACCAAGGTTATCCACCATGTTGACTCAAAAAAATGTCTTACCGGTCGCTCACGTCAAAGTACGCAGACATCGTCAGACGAAGTCCAACCGCAAACGCGAGAATTGCCTAGTATCAACAAAACAACAAATGATGTTAAAACAAGGAACTCATTCAGACGTAACAGCGCAATGATGTGACCACAGCCAACATCGTTTCAGGCAGTACCTTGAACTCTTTCAGAGAAAATACGATCTGCCCTTCATTCTGCGCCAAGAACTGATTCATGGCCACTCGCTCAATAGGCACCATAGTCGCTCCAAACCTCTTCGACTTGTCTAGTTAATTCAATCACCCAAGCAACAAAAAAAAGGGCATCAGCACTCTTGCACAGTACCAGCGGACACAGAACCTCGTTACACACTCACGAACAACGTACCTGAATCATCGCCGGCGTCGTTAAAAGTTTGGAGGACAATCCCGTCATCATTAAACTTCATAGTCATCTCCTCAGCTTTGGACGAAAAGTATTCTGCTAACCCGTTCATGGCAGGGGCGCTCAACTCCCACGAGTTTTGGAATGTGTCGACCGAATCGATCAACTGCAAGTTCTCGAGGCAAGACTGGTACAGTAATTTGTGGAACTTGATGCATCCTATCGCGAAGGATATGATCATTAAGCCAAAAAAAAAAAAAAAAAAAAAAAAAAAAAAGTCGATGTGAGTGAAAACCAACTGTGCTCCCTCCATTTCAAACTCAAAGATGGTGGCAAAAAATTGGTAAATGCCAACAAAAAGCAAAGGCATGGACTCTTACCAGACTTGAAGAGGACTTCGACGGTCAACCGACAGTTCTCTCCAACTCCCTCTGCAGCATTCAAGTAGACGCTCAGGTTATGAATCTTCTCCTCAATATTTCCACGCACCCGACACGCCGACACCAGCGCCTACACACCCACACCCGAACACACAAAAACTAGACATGGTTAGCATCTCCAAAGTATGATTATCCCATCTTCATAATCTCCAAAGGGTACACACCCATTTATCGTTATTACCTTGGCAATGATGGTACACCTAAGAAAAGGTCCCTCATCATCATGCTGGATCGCAGGACTCGAAAGGTCCAAAGAATAGCTCTCAAAAAACGACCTTGAAAACGTGAAATTCGCATAGGCTGTCCGGGTCAGACTGAGTGTTGAAAGAATAAGCCGGTCCTGCCGAGCCTCGATCGTGATGTCGTCGCCCACTTTGTCCAGGCACGTCAGTACGTTCTGGAAGCCTTTATTTGGTGGAGGTATGAGAGAGGGAGGCTTTAGTTTCACGGTGCTCGTCTGTTGTGAGAGGGGAGGGAAGTATGTTGATCTCGCGAATGGAGAATTGAGTTGAGCGATGGGAGGAATGTACCTTTAATGGAGACGATAGGGATGATAGCCTTCATGAGTGAAAGTATGAGTTTTTGGGGGTCGATCGATGTGAATGAAGATCTGACGGTGTCGAATGTGAATGTGTGGAGTGAAGTGAAGAGGAAGAGAGGCGTAAGAGTGTCCTTTTGTGGGCGCGTGCCTTTTAGTTTCTTGGTTTTTTTTTGCCACCAACATCCCACACCAAAAAAAAAAAAAAAAAAAAAAAAAAAAAAAGGCATGGAAGTCGAAATTACTAACTGTATTTATTTACTCGTCATCATCGTTGTCGCTCTCGTCAAAGATATCCGATCCAGAGTCGTCGCCCGGCGGGGTGTCCTCCTTCTCAGAAGAGGACGTCTCCAACATTGCGTCTACCTCGTCCATCATCTTCTTGAACTTGTCTTCTTTCTCCTTTGCCTTCGACGACGCCTCCCTCTTCGCTCTTGTTCTATTGACAGCAAGAAAAAAAAATTGTGAGTGCATTGAACCAAACACATATTCTATACATCTCATTTACAATCGTTCCCAACGGCTACTTACTTCGGGCCTTTAGTATTCTGTGTGTCATCGTTCTGCTTTTCAGTTGACGGTGGCTCGGTAAACTTGTTGACAAACGAAAGCTCGTCGGTCAGCTCCGCCAACTTTGCCAATTCGTCATCCCCCAGCGCCTCAGGTGCTTCACTAAACATCTTGAGAATATTCTTCTCGACCGTCATCAAGTACTTTTTACCCGACGGCTCGACCAAGGGCCGTTTCTAAAGAATAAAAAAAGCGCAGTGTTAGTGGTGTTATTCGCACCAAGGCATTGCTTGGAGAGTTTACCAATAGTTGTTACATACGGTTTTGAGGTTTCCAATCAAGAGAGTCAATTTCTTGAGTCGGATCTCGCCGGCGTCGTCGTCCAACGGAATCTTGTGAAGAATATTTGCCAAAAATTTCCTGACATCTAACAACAGAAAGAGTGTTTTTCAGTCTTTGTACGACTTTTTCATGTCGCCATGACAGGCGGCAAGTAAAACGATAGCAAAAAATGAGAAGCTATGATTCACTTACAGGCAGTTTCGGCAAACATGGCCTTGACAATATCGATGGCAATGTTGGCTTGGAGACCGTAATCGATGTTTTTGTTCACAGGACCCTTCTCAGGATCAGCTCTAAACAACGCGTAACATGATATTCAAGAAAAATCATCAGCGTGCTGTTGATGCGATTCACAAGTACTCAAGCAAGGTTGTTATTGTTTCACTTACTCCAATCCACGGCGGGGCTCACACCACTCCAGCAGTTGCTGCCCCATAATGACACATGTTGGCATCTCATTCTTGTACTCCTGGTGCATCTCGATCAGCTTAACCATGATAGGAACTGCCATCTCGCTGAGCATGACCTGGTTGTCGTACGAAGAGTGAAAGTACACCTGCAAGAAGTAACTGAGACACTGACGCAAGTGGTTGTTCTTTGCTGTCGCGGGGTCAAAGTAGAGGATGATCAACGTTCGCAAGATCTACAATATACAAAGAGAACGTCGGTCAGTACCGATGACAAAAGGCAGACAATCGTGGAAGTATGTTTTCCAGAAAACAATGTTACTCTGTACCTCTGCGTCGCGCAAAACCTTGGTGAGCATCAACTTGGCGATTCCCTCCACAGCAACAGCCTGAACTTCGGGTTCTTCGCTCTCCAAGGTCTTCTTCAAATCAGCGTTGATCCTCTCCTCTCCGACCTGGGATGACATGGGTCCCATACCGAAAGTCAAGATAAGATCAAACATAATCTATGGCGAAAAAGGAGAAAAAAAGCTGTGAGATGACTGTACTCTCATATGCAGTTGGAAGGAGTCGAAAAAGGTCCTTATCAATGTACTCACCTTCACTGACAGGACATGAAGGAGTGTGGAGGCATTTTCGGCAAAGGCACAGGTCAAGAAGAGTTCCATGTTGTCCGCCGCAAGAGCTTTCTCCAACGAGCAAATCAAGCCGAGGCACTGAAGACCAAGATCCTGCATCACTTCTTCCGGATAAGCGAGCGCTGGGACCACCAACGTGTTCAAAAGACCAAACATGTACGAACTTTCCTGAAGATGCTGTAAATGTCAATCAAGAAAAAGATGGTACGAGTTGATAAGCCATAATGCTCAGTGATACACGAAAATGAACTAGCAAACCGCGTCTCCATCTGACTTGAATGCCTTACCTCCGAGGATCGCTCCAACATATACTTTGTGATGGTGAGACAGCGGATTTTGTTCAACATTCTTTCAAGATCCTTGCGCGCCTTATCAGCTTCGTCGACGACCGTTGCGGAAGAGTTCCTCCTTGACTTGTCGACCGCACTGTGTTTCCGCTTCCTCGATGCATCTGGGTCTAATAGGTCCATGCTCATGTCGTCTAGTGAGTCATCGTCTTCAGCCTAATGTAACACCATCAAGTGGACGATTAGATAATACTCTCAAGCAAGAACAGACCGTCAGCTTGATATGAAAGATCAGACCGTTCAGTATCCTTACCTCAGACTGGTTTGTCGCATCCTCCTGTTCAGCCTCCGTGCTCTCGCTAAGATCCGAAATAATCTCAATGATGATACGCGTAAAGTCCTTTTCGTTCAACGAGATCTTACGCATGGTCTCCACAATACATTCCAGATGTTTGTCCGGAAGATCATTCAGCAGCAACATCTCGCCTATGGTATCAATATGAATGACGTTAGCTTCCATGTTTTATGCCTTGGAACAAAAATGTTATGAACAAAGGAACACTGGTTCACGAAAGTACGAAGGCGACTTACGAAGGAGGCCAAACATTTTGCGACGTCCAATTTCATCCGCATAATCCAAGAGACGGGCGATCATGAGGAGCTGTGTCACGATGAACTCTGCCTCTGGTCGGTCCTCCTCTTCTGCCTGCTGCATGATGTTGCTGTACTTTTGAATGTAAAACGCGTGTCTAACAACCTCTGGGACGACTTTGTCAAACTGAGCGTCGTCATCCTTGCGACGACAGAACTCTGTAAAAACCCTGACAAGGAAAGAGGACTCCACGGAGAGGTTGACCCAAAAGATGTCTAATATACGCCATGAGCGATGCAGATTAGTATCCTTCTTATCATTAGACAGTGTCATCGAACGCGTCAAAAGTCACCACTTACCATTAAAACTAAGCGTGTCAATGACGTCCGCTCGGTAGTCAAAGAAGGCATTCAACACATCCTCGGCGACACTGCTTCCCATAACATCCAGACGCTCCAAGAACTCGATGAGGTTATCGTCCGCCTGGTTAATCCACTTGGTCGCAAGCATCTTTGTACACGCCTTCTTGACACCGTCGTCTCTAAATACGCAAGTAGCTTCATGTAAGACCTCTAATACCAATACAATATAGCCTACCAGATTAACGCGAAAGTTCTCGGAGGCGTCACAACTCACCTGTCGGTAAGACCATAGCGGAGCAGCCTTTCTCTCTCACCGATTGAGAGCATACGAAAGTCGCGAATTTCGCTCATGGGCTTTGTAAAGACAGCTCTCCTGTTGTACGTGTCTGTGTCGCGTGCACGTTCGAGAATATATGGGAGGGTATCTTTGGATTGGGCAATGTTGAAGATTGCAGACCGACGGACCTCACTTCAAAGGTACATCAATCAAAAGTGAAAAGTGACAGGTGTTAGCCTCTTGCTGCAATTTGATCCGCTTCATAACACGCATATATTAAGCCAGGTTTGGTCAAGGAACACTTACGCCGCTGGGTCATGTTGCAACAAGTCCAAAAACTTTTCGATAATAGTGCCTCCTTCTTCCTCCTCTTCGTCGTCTTCCTCGTCGCCGTTGCCTTGCATCTTGGAGAGGGCAAAAAGAGCCTGGACACGAACTTGTGATTCCTTGTCGCGGGTTCGCTCCATGAGGCTCTTCTGAAGTTCCACGTACAAATCGTTCCTAGTAGTGGCGCAGAGGGAAATATTTGTCAGCTGCTGGTTTGCACGCCCTTGACGCATTGCGCTCTGAGTAGAAACATGGCGGAAGATGCTGAATATTGATAAAGTGCTTACTCCAGCGCGCCGACAGAGTTGATGCTCAGTGCGATCAGCTTGCAGCAGCGCACACGGACAAGCTTCTCCTTGACGGTGATTCCTTTCAATAGATGCCGCATCAAGTGCTCGACAAACGTCGCAGATATTGAGCTGTCCTCGTCTTCATCCTCTTCCTCCTCGTCCATGTTCTCTGCCTCTGGCTTTCTATCTGTTGGAAACAAGTAAAAGATGTCAGTTGGTAGAGTTCTTCATGGCCATACGAGAAAAAAAAAGTTGCACACTTGAACTTCCATGGTACCTTTCTCGCATGTGCACAGAATAAAGGTGGACACAAACTGGACGACTCGGTCAGCAGTCGCCTCGACCTTCTTGATGGCCAAAACGACGTTCAGGTTCCGAATAAACTCCTTGTTAAAGGCCGCCTCCCCATTCTCCCCAGCAGCCTCCGCACATTGTTCCTGAATCTTACGGAGCATGATGGCATTTTTGCGATGATTGGCCGCAGACTTTTGACATTCCTGAAAGATGTTGGGGACGACGGTGCGGAGTGTCTCTAGAACGGGTTGCTTTTGTTTTCTTGATTTGGATGCCTTTTTGGTGGCGGTGGTGGGTTTTGTTGTTGTTGGTGGTGGTGTTGCTGTGGATGTGGATGGGCCAGCTGTTGCTCCTTCGGGTGCGTCGACCTCAGCGGCCTGGTTCTTTGGCCTTGCCATGGCTGATGTTGGCTGTGATTGTCCTGAGGAAGGGAGAGAGAGTTGTTGGATGAAGAGAAGAAGCCAGTGTGCCTGAGAGTGAGTTGACCTTTTTGTTTGACGCGACTCGAGTCCTGCAACCGAGAACAAAATTCACCTGCAGCAAAGCCACTTCTCTACATCCACTGGAGTAGCATGAAGAACCCTGGCTCTCTTTCTCTCACTCTCTAACACTCTCCCTTACACCTTTCGACATCACATCACACACCTCACTTACTCAATTTAACCAAATCGAACCAATGGACTCTGAACGCTCAACACCGGCATACGACAACATACGCTCACCAGCATCACAGGAGCGGGAACGTAGCGTCAAGGTCGAGGGCAACCGTGGAGCCGTCAGGAGTATAGGAGTACGTCCCTCCCCCCAAGACTCATCACGTCAACCACCCACACTCCTACTGTACAATGCAACTGCCCTATAAGCCAATGCCTTTTACTACCCCCACATAACAACTCGCCATGACTGACATCAGTAAACCCCTCTCTCTCTCTCACCTTTGCGGGTAACCATAGGAGATTCTGAATGCAGACCGTGAGGGGTCAACGGCGTCTTCAGCGACCGGTGTCACAAACCCCCTGGCTGACCTCTCCAAGGCAGAGCTCGTCGCAATGCCCATCCGAGGATATCTGGACCAGGCTGTCCTCCCCGTCTTGCTGGAGGGCATGAAGCAGCTCGCAAAAGAGAGGTACTGCTTTTTGTTGTTTTTTTGCACTCAAATTGAATGAACTAGAAGTGTGATTGATTTTGGAGTGAGAGCGCTGACTGATATTTTATTTGTTGCCTCGATTTAATCACATCGATAGGCCGCAGAACCCTTTGGAGTACCTTGGACATTACCTTCTCAACCATAGCGACACCATTGGACGATCGCCTGGGCCTTAGACGACTGTAAACTGTAAACCAGGACCAACACATAGAAACACCCATTTTTGAATCTTCAATGTACATATCTTAATCATCCCAAAGGATCAAGGCTTTTGCTGCGTGGTTTGTGGAACTAGGCAAGCATTTTGGTTTTTCTTGTGGATATGTTCAAAATGGCAGGTCACACAGATGATAGAGAGCTATGTAAGCTTCACGCGACAACGACGCGTCCCAAATCACGTCTTGACCTCATGGCGCCGGACGCGACATCTTCTACCGTTGATGACCAGCATTGGTCCCCATGACCATGCAACAAACGCAAACGTCGCCTGGCCATTTCTTTTGTAGGTAAGAAAAAGGGTTCGCAAATCTCGCTTCACAGCCCTTGCTTCTTACCCCCACACCATTTCGTTCCCCACTCTAAACCTGTTCGCCGACGCTTAGTTGAAGAGTAAAAGGTACTACACACTTGTACTATCAAGCTATGACCCTCTCTCTGCCGAGATGAAGAAAAAAAAATGTGTTCGCGTTCACCACTATCGCATACATATGATTGCTTCGTTTTATTTAGACGCAACTAGAAACCCTACTCCTTTCGGCATGTCCTCTCCTCCTTTGCATTGCGTCGGACTGAAAGAAAGGAGGGGGTGAGGATAAAAGACAAACGATTCCCTATCCTCCTTTCAGATTTTTTTTCTGTAAGAGATATGTGTTTATATGTTGTCTATGTGTGTCGATATACTTTTTATTCGAGAAGAATGTCTATGGAGGAGGTGTAGGAGGGCAGTGCCTTTAATGTATGATCATAATATGTAACAAAGAGAGGTAAAACGGGGAGAGTGTGTGTTTGTGTGTATGTATGTGTTTGAGTGTCTGGGAAAAAAACAGAAGAGATAAACTTAAGCGCCGATCTTCTTGGTCAAGGTACGCTTGATAACACGGGCAATGACCTCAGTATCAGGGAAGGCAAACGCCTCCAAGTTCTGGGCATAGGGTGTAGGAACATCCGCGCCAGTCACACGAACAACGGGGGCATCCAAATGGTCAAACGCCTCGGACTCCATGATCTGAGCACAGATCTCCGATCCAACTCCATACTGGGGCCATCCGCCCTCAACGGTGACCAAACGGTTAGTCTTCTTGACAGACTTGATAATCGTCTCGGTATCCAGGGGACGGATGGAACGGAGGTTGATGACCTCGGCGGAGCAGATTCCTTCCTTCTCGAGGAGGTAGGCGGCCTCGAGGGCGAAACCGACGGAGCGCGAGTGGGCGACAATGGTGATGTCAGTACCGGCCTTCTCGATCTTGGCCTTGCCGATCTCGACGACAAAGTCCTTGGAGAGGGCGGCCTCGGACATGGGGAAGGAGATTCCGTACATCAGCTCGTTCTCGAGGACGACCACGGGGTTGGGGTCACGGATAGCAGCCTATTTAGTCGCGTCGGATTGAGGAGAGAGTCAGCTTTCGTGTTTATGGCGATTGTGATTTGCCACCAAAACAAATTAAAAATAACTGATGGCATAAAGTTGTTTTATCAACCAACCCCTTTTCCTCCCGAATTGCCGCCAAATTCGATTAGTGTGTACCTTCAAGAGACCCTTGGCATCTTCAGAGTTCCAAGGCGAAACAACCTTAAGACCAGGGACTGATCCATACCAAGCCGCAAAGCACTGCGAATGCTGAGCAGCAACACCAGCAGCAGCTCCGTTGGGTCCACGGAATGTAATAGGACAATTAACGTTACCGCCCGACATGTAATGGGTCTTGGCTGCAGAGTTGACAATCTGGTCGATGGCCTGCATGGCAAAGTTCCAAGTCATGAACTCGCACACTGGCTTCAATCCTGCGAATGCCGATCCGACCGCAAGACCGCAGAATCCAGACTCGGTGATGGGGGTGTCAATCACGCGCTTGGGGCCAAACTTGTCCAGCAATCCCTTCGACACCTATCATCGTTTGGTTTTTTTTTTGGAATAGGAGTAAGGGATAATGACGGGTGAGTCGAATTTCCATCTAAGGGCGGAGTTATGCACAAAGGGACCGGTGATGCTTGACACGTCGGCGATTCCATGGTCGCTGACTTTTGTTCCTGGGAAAAAGCCGTTCCGCAGATCCATCGCTGCGCTGAATAATATCTTCTATTCCGACAGCTTTTGAAATAGTTTTGCTGACGAATACCCGTTCCTGCGTTGTGCTGATGAATCCTAGAGAACAATGTGTGATTTGGCGCGTGTTCCTCAGGCGCGGACAAGATGATGGCGATGCTAGCACTGGTTGCCCAGTCTGTTCGGAGGTGAAGACCGCCGGCGAGATCCGTCACCGTCATTCCCCATAAGGATAGAGAAAAGATGTCCGTTGTCGGTCGTGCACGGCGATAAAAATCTTTTGGGGCAAAACTTTAAATACGAAAACACCCCTTTTCAAGGTGATGCGCGCGGGTGAACCAAATGATGCAGAACTCTTTTTCCCAAGGTTTCCTTTCTTACAGGGATGGTTATCTAGCCCTGCCTTCCTGCCTTCCTGTGCATCTATTGCTCCTGAAGCAGAGCAGGCATAGACGTCCTGAATGATTGCAGTCGCCAAGGATTCGATTCACTACTCCTTGCTTTCGTTCCCTTGTCTATCCAATTGTTCTTGAACCAGAAGTAGATAGCGAGGCTGGATATTTACCTTGTAGGCACCGTTATATTGTCCAACCTCCTCACCCAACAAGTAGACCTTCTCGTCGGCAGTCATCTCCTCCTCCAAAGCAGAGTTCAAGGCATCACGGACAGTCATCTAAATATGAGCACCAGGATACAGACAGGTCATTAATTATTTGTTGGATCCAGGTCCATGTTTTCATTATTAGCTGGTATTGAGGGATGTTTTGTGTGCGTGTATGTGGATGGGTATATCACGTCAACCCCTCCTCCGTGAGAGTTTCTTGCCGATATTATTGTTCCCTCTGGAAAATTGTGGACATAAATTACCCATATGATGAGATACGGAAGTGGGGGAGTGGGTTGAGCGGGCAACAGAACAACAACGTAAAGATAAATCACACGCAGCCCACTAACCCAATAAAATGAGAGCAGCCATCATCATTAACAACCTTCCTCTCCATGGGTCGTGAGAGGTAATGTTATCCAGTATACCCTCGTAACTGAAAACAAGTAAACTCAATCCTAACTGAATCCCTGTGCTCCCTGCCGCCCGTCTTGTTGTCGTTTTGTCGTTGCTTTGAAGCTGATCAGACTATTCGGCCGACATACGTGTCTCCTTCGCGTCTTTTCTGCTCGCCTGGAGACACAGCACGCTTTGGTTCACCTGCCGAGTGACAAGGACCAAGCACCCATTACGGACCAGTTTTTTGTTGACTTGCGAAATCCATTCATTATCTGCTGCATGAGTCTTTATCCGTCGCACACCTCTTTTTTGTTTTTTTTATCTATGGACAGAGATTGCCTTCCGAAAAGAGATAACAAAAAAAAAAGGTCCGCTCGATATTCCCGTGGTGTCCTTGTTGTCGTCCATTTTGATGCTCAGATAAAATGATTAGAGGGAAAAGATAAAGACGCCAAAGGGAAAAATGGAGATAAGAGAGGCGTGTTTTTTTTGGCCTGTTGTCGTGGTTGCAGTCGTCGGTGAATACGTGTAGGTGTGGGTGTATGAGAGAGAGAGATGCGCGGAAGAAAGAGGAGCGAGGGTGTAGAAAAGGTGTTTACCTCGACACCATTCTTGGAGTTGTAGGCGCGCTTAGCGAGGAGTGAGGTGGCGAGGACGGGGTTAGAGCGGAGGAGGGCCTGGCGGACGGTGGGGATGGAGACCACGGCGGCCTTCTTGAGGATGGAGGACATGATGTGTGAAGGTGAATGGGGTGGAGGGAGTGGAGTGATGAGAGGAATGAAAAGAAAGGGAAAAGAAGAAAAGAGTAGTGGTGTGAGAAAAAAAAAGGGGGGAGAATGAAAAGAGATCAAAAGTCAGTGAGTGGATCTGAGAGTGAAAATATTCATCATATCATATCTTCGGATGGGGTGGGATCAGCGATGGATGGGGTTGTCTAGTGCTTGCATCGAACTCGTGTGGTACAGTACATGTGTTCAAGCTGCATCGCTACCCTTGATTACATGTCTACTCCTCCTACTCTTGAACCCATCTAGGCAATTACGCACTCGGACTAGAGCACATACCCTCCTCCGTCGTTTTACTTCAACCCAAGCAAACCAAGCAGGACGACGATGGACATTGTTCCGCAGAACACACACACACACACACAGGGCGCGCTTGTTCGTGTGCTCAACCTCTACTGTCGGAGGCAATAGGAAGCCATGTGGAGAAACCAGGAAAAGAGGAAAATTCAATGGGGGAAGAGCAAGGAGCGGAAACCTTCTTCATCCCCTTCCTTCTTTCTCCACTTGTAATTACAAAACTGTGTTTTCATTCACCTTTTTTCTTCGCTCCCTCGCAATCGTAATGGATAGACCATGCTACGAAACATACAAAGCCATGGTCAGACAGGGCATTTCGTTGACCATATCTTGCTTCTTCTTTTTACCTCCTTATGGGGAACCCTACAGGCGATCATCACGATCATCTCTCCCTCCTCTATCTCAAGTCCTTTCTGAAGCCTCGGTTTGGGCATAGAGAGTAAACAAATTTTTCAAGAATAGAGTGCAACAATGCCGTCTCAACTGCCCGCCCTTTTCCTTCAACTTTGTGCTCACCACCGTATGCCCTGTTCATTTTTCCCTTGAAGTTCGTTGTCCCTCTCATCCGTGAAGTTCCTTATCCTGCTTGGTCGCCTAATCCGCCGATATGTCAGGGTTAAATTGACGACGACGCGTTTTTTTACTTCCCCCTCGCTCTCCTAGAGCCTTTCATCTAAATCAACACACATGCATGAACACAAACACCTATACCAATACACGTAGATTCTCGATCCACGATAGTTATTTGCTTGAAAATCAAGATGCCATTTCATTTTTGAATAGAAAAAAATATGTGTACAATGAAGAAAGTAAAGACTAAGAGTGGTGTGGATGCATTGAGGAAGTGTAGAGTGTAGAAAAAGAAAGAAATGATATAGCTGTGCTAATCCTTTATCCCAGCAATTAAACAAGGAGAAGAGCGTTAACACAACCGTCCAACTCGGGGTTGTTGGTAATCTGGGCGTATTTACCCCAGACGACCTTTCCTCCTGTTGTGACCAAACCCAACTCTGACACGTTGACCTCAATGACCGTACCCTTTGTCAAGACACCGAGCTGTGTGTACAGAGGTGACTGGGGGTTCTTCTTGACACCGATGATGGGCAGGCAGAAGGTTGCCTTGAGCTCGGGATGGGTGACATGGGCCTTCTTGTAGCGGAGGGCTGAGGGGCGAATGAAACGCTCGTACTTTGGGGGCTTACGGGTGAAGCCGTCACCAACAAAGGTGGCCTTGGTGACCATACGCTTCCATGACTTGGCCTTGGTCTTTCCGGATCTCAAGACCTTGAACATCTCGTCCTCAGCAATACCACGGACCTTGGGCAGAGGCACGTTCCACTTTCCTGCCTTCTCCTTGCGCTTCTGCTTGATCATGTTGCTCAACACCTTGGCGCGCTGCTGACCCTCACGATCCAAAAGATAACCGGGAACAGCTCCCTCGGGAACAGCCTCCGTATCCTTCTGCTTGGCGTTCTTTTCCTCGTGCTGCTTGATACTGTGTAGTTTAATGGTGTCAGTTATAAGGATGTTGGTTAGTTTTCGAATACCAGTAAAATGATAGGTTATTTCCTGCGGATTCTATACTCGCTTCCCACGGGTTGTCCTTGATGAGTTGTTGCTGTTATGTCTGTAAGGATCGTATGTGTCCACGCATTCTGGTGCCTCCTTTTTCTCTGGTACTCCTAGCCATGTCAATTAGAGAGAAATATATCCGGGGTCTTTGATTTTCTTTTCGGTTTTCCTTAGATCCAGTTCATTTGAATAGCGGCACAGTCGATAAGATACCCTGTTGCAACAAACAGGCTGTGTCCCCCTTTGTGTCCATCCCGAATGGCCTCCAAAAAAAACTGTTCCTGATAAATATTCCCTTTGCTGCAAACACCAAAAGGAGATAAACAGTGGGATAACGAGAGAAAGGGATACGTACGTTTTCTTCATCTGGATCTTCTCAGAGTGTCTCTTCTTGTTGTACATCTTAGCCCTCAAACCAGTGACCTTCTGGGCAAACTGGGAGCTCTTGTGGGCCTCACGAGCCTCTCTCTTACGCCTAATTTGTTATTTCAATGGTTGGAATGGTTAGTTTCATCGAGTTTGACGACGTGGGTATGCAGTAACAACAGATACTGAGCAGGTCAATTGTTGCCAATAGTTGTGAGAGGTGTGCGTACTTCTTCTCGGCGTGGTCCAGTCTGCGACCATGTCGCTTAATCGACTCTTCGATATATTCGTTCTGAGGCTATAGGTTCAAATGAAAAGGTAATAGGGACGTTGTATTAGTGTCAGTAAGTGTCTGTCCTGCCAAAGGGAGGGAAGACCCGAAGAAGAGGCCATGCTTGCAGAACAAGTCTGATTGTATGTTTGTTGTTGTGAGAGTGTGAAGGACATTTGTCGATAAGGAATGAGGAAGGATGTAGTGATGATGCCGTTGAGGTCAGGCCAAGAGATATTGAGAGAGGGTGTGTTGTCGGTGTGCTGTCGAGTGAGAGTAGATGTATTACCATGGTGAGGGTATGATTTGTGTGTAAGGGCGAAAGGAGGGATTAAAAAAGAGAAACAAAAGACAAACAGATGCACTTCAACTGTCAACCACCGAGGGACTGCGACTTCAAGCCAAGCAGCAGAAAAAAAAGAAAAAAAAAAAAGAGCAGCGCGAGAGAGGGACAGTGGCTTACGCATTCAAAACACTCATCACCTGATGACATGTCACGTGCATTGAACTCTTACAGAAGCTATTTATTTGAAGGGTCTGTTCCCAACTCTCACTTCTCTCCTCACTCCTCTCTCCCTCAACTAAACCTACTCTCTCCACCATGTCTGTCCCTACCGCCAACTTGGCCTCTTTCAAGATCCCCTCAGTCACCAATGAGCCTATGGTAACTTACTCTTTTCTTTCATTCACTCTCATTCACTCTCATTCACCCTTACCTCTTACATAAAAAGGGTTTCAATAACAAACCTTCTTACCTCTTGTGTCAACTGCGCGCGCTTGGTCTTCATTTTTTACTTTCTCACGCTTACTCACATTCCCACACCCCAATCCTTTCCTTCTTGACTATTAGAAATCGTACGCTCCTGGCTCTGCTGAGCGTGCTGCCCTCCAGGTTGCCTTGAAGGAGCTCCGTGCCCAGGCTCCCCTCGACATCCCCTGTGTTGTCAACGGCGAGGAGGTAATGCAGCCATAACTATGACAATAACAAGAGAAAAGAGAAAAAAAATGCATTTAGATCAAACTGTTGTTTGAGACAGTTGCCCAGCAATGGGGAAACGTCTTTCATACCTGTTGTCTCTCGCTTGCCGTTCTATTTGCTCTGTCTGTCCGTCTGTCTGTTTGTCAATGTCGAATACCAAGAGACTTGTTCAATCGCTAACCAATACATTTTCTTTATACCCTTTTGAACGCTCCAAACAGATCCGCACTGGAATCATGGAGAAGCAGGTTTTCCCCCACGAGCACAAGACCGTTCTCTGCAACTACCACAATGCCGATGAGGCCCTTGTCGCCAAGGCCATCGACGGTGCCTTGGCTGCCAAGCAGGACTGGGAGAACACCCCCTTCAACGACCGTGCTGCCATCTTCTTGAAGGCTGCCGACCTCGCTGCCACCAAGTACAGGTATGTAAACCAACTTGTTCTTTTTCTTGGGGTTGGTTGATTTCCCTTCCCGTCTTTCTTCCATTTCCCTTTGCTCTTACCTTTCTTGTCCCAGACACAAGCACTCGTTGTTTTCCATTTCTATGGGCAATGGTTCATGACGTTATTGTGTTTGTATTCTTCCTCCCGCACACCCTCCTCCGCTAAACACATTATTGTCACCTTATTTTGGGAAGGATGACTCTTTTTGTTATTATTACTATTACAGGTACTCTTCTGGAGTAGAATGGAGAATGGAGGGAGTTGGAGTGTAATAACGGTGTAGGGGATGGAACGTGGGTTGTGGGTCATAATTAACGTTTAGATGGAGAAGGGTGATCTGATCCTTTTATGAGCAAAAGTAAGAAGAACGACGACAACTATGGGTGGGTGGGAAAAACAAGGGCAGCTTTCCTCTTTTAGTTGGGGAAAGAAGGACTAAGGGCTATTTTTTGTGTTCCGTGCTCTCTCTTTTTTTTTTTCGTGAACGGGCTGGGACGGGTGAACTTAGTCGTTCGATTATTATCATTGTTCATTTATCGATTCCTTGTGGGTCATTTCCATTCTTTGGGTTATCATGGCATGGACCAACAAATAATAACGCGAACAAAAGGGATCAACAACGACTGGATCAAGTCGACACATCTCAGAACGGAGTTCATGCTACTCCTATTGCCTGGTGTCTCTTATTTATTTTATGGGTCAACGGTTTTCATTTTCCCTTTGCATAAGCGTCATTCAGTACCAACACAACATCATCGTCGATGCGATGGGTCATCGTTTGTTATTATTACCCGGTCCACAGCGAAGTGGGGTGAAAAGGGGGAGATGGGCTATTCGGCTTTTCGCCGTTGAGATGGATTCGAACATGACACCACCCTGGCTGCCCTTGAAATCCCGACTAGTTTAGTCCTTCCAGAAGTGCGGGTACCCAACTCGTCCTTCAACTCCTCCACTATGACCCATAATCTATGACCCATAACCACATCCAGACTTGGTTTGATCCCCAGCCCTATTCTTTTACATACTCACTATTCCACATCCCACATAATGCCCTCGTACAACATGCAACATACCTGCATATCAAATCTATTATCCTATCCTAGTTGGTACTAGCACCGACATGCTGACATGACACACGCTCACACTCACTCACCTCACTCACACTCACACTCACACTCACACTCACACTCACACTCACACTCACACTCACACACATCCAACTTTCCATACTAACTCCGTCAACTATTCTCCTTCAATGATACCAATAGATACAAGATCATGGCTGCCACCATGCTCGGTCAGGGTAAGAACGCCTGGCAGGCCGAGATCGACTCTGCTGCCGAGATGATCGATTTCTGGCGCTTCGGTGTCAAGTTCGCTGAGGAGCTCTACTCTGTCCAGCCCCCCCAGAACAGCACCGGCACCTGGAACCGTACCGAGTACCGCCCCTTGGAGGGATTCGTCTTTGCCGTCTCGCCCTTCAACTTCACCGCCATCGGTGGTAACCTTGCTGGTGCCCCCGTCTTGATGGGTAACGTCTGCGTCTGGAAGCCCGCCCCTGCTGCCACCTATGCCTCGTACGTCGTCTACGAGATCATGCGTGAGGCTGGTCTCCCCGCTGGTGTCATCCAGTTCATTCCCGGCCCCGCCCCCGAGGTCGTCTCCCAGGTCTTGAAGCACCCCGAGTTTGCTGCCCTCCACTTCACCGGTTCGACCCACGTCTTCCGCAAGCTCTGGAAGGACATTGGTAACAACATCGAGAACTACAAGTCGTACCCCCGCATTGTCGGAGAGACCGGAGGCAAGAACTTCCACATGGTCCACAAGACCGGTAACGCCACCTCGGTCGTCTACAACACCATCCGCTCTTCATTCGAGTACCAGGGACAGAAGTGCTCTGCCTGCTCGCGCTGCTACTTCCCTGATAACCTCTGGCCCGAGATCAAGGAGGGTCTCATTGCTGCCCACGCCCGCATCCAGTCTGGCCCTGTTGAGGACTTCAAGAACTTCGCCGGCCCCGTCATCAACCAGTTCTCGTTCGACAAGATCAAGTCTTACATCGACTGGGCCAAGTCCGACCCCGAGTCTGAGATCATTGCCGGAGGCAACTACGACGACTCTGTCGGATACTTCATCCAGCCCACCATCATCGTCACCACCAACCCCAAGTCGCGCACCATGACTGAGGAGATCTTTGGACCCGTCGTCACCATCTACGTCTACAAGGCCGAGGAGTACGAGAAGACCTTGGACTTGGTCGCCAACTCGTCTGCCTATGCCTTGACCGGTGCCCTCTTCTCCCAGGACCGCTATGCTACCGTCTTGGGCGCCAACAAGCTCCGCAACGCTGCCGGAAACTTCTACATCAACGACAAGTGCACCGGTGCCGTCGTCGGTCAGCAGCCTTTCGGTGGTGGACGTGCCTCCGGCACCAACGACAAGGCTGGATCTGCCGCCATCTTGTCCCGCTTCGTCTCCCCCCGTTCCATCAAGGAGTCCTTTGTCGACCTCGAGGATTTCATCTACCCCTCCAACTTGGTCTAAGTTGGTGTGTTGTTCTTTCCCTTTTCCTCGACCATGTATTTTCATCCCTCTCCTAACTATCCACTAACTGCATATAAAAAAACACAAAACATAACCACAAACACATGAGTTAGGCAAAGGAAGGTGGTGGATCTCGTTCACTTGAGCATCTACTTTTTTTTCTTTTTCTTTCTCAATAATTAAAAATAAATGCAATCGCAATTTTGTTTTTTACTCAATCATTTTTGCATTGGCATGTTTACTCGCGTTTTGCATGGGCTTTGCAGGGTATGCAATTCAGGACAGGGTCCTTCAATTGAGCCACTATCATGCCAAAAGCAAAGTGGTTTGGGTGGTGGGCAACTGTGACTCTTTGAGTGACCACTTGCATGCATTTAGTCGACTCGCAAGCAGGACAATTGTGAAAGAGATATGCGATATGCGAAAAAAGACAAAGTTACAGGTGAAGAATGTGATGAAAGGGTGAATGTGAAGGAAAGAGAGACAAGGAAGACAGGAGGGGTGAACAGGAGGGGTGAACAGGAGGGGTGAACAGGATGCAATGCAATGCGCAAGACGAAGGATAGGCATAGATGCAGTAATTCAGGGAGGCAAACTTTTCTATGTTTTTTTTTTTTTTTTTTTTGTACGTTTACAATGGGTTCTTGAATGCTGTTCACAAAGTAAAACAAAGACAAAAGTTTTTTTTTTTTTTGCACACCCCCCCCCCCCCCCCCCTTCCACCCCCCTCTTCTTCTCTCTCTCTCTCTCTCATCCATCACCTCCTAGGGATCACCCTACATACCTCGCTGATGCATGTCCTGCGAATATCCCACATGCACAGTACTTGTTACATGTGCAGCAACCTGCACCCAGCAAAACTCGACAAGCATACACTCTCCTCTCAGACATCCAATCCTCCCCGTGTGTGTGTGTGTGTGTGTGTGTGTTTTCTATTTATGATACGCGCTTGTCCGTTCCACCACGGCTCTCATCGTTCCACAAGATAGAGTATCCCAACACATTCTATTTCACAATTAGAAGATGCTCTCTATATTCACTTGTGCAGGGTGTCGAACACAAAGAAACATGCGAAAACGTGCACCACACAGCATAATTTTTTTTTTTTAAGCAATATTGTTTATTTATTATTGTTATATCTTTTTTGTAAGGGTTGTTGGATGGTTGGAGGATTAGGTGGTTTTTTTTTGGCAGGTGGTCGCGAAGAGGAAAGAGAAAGGAGGTGGAGAGGTGCACTAGGTATTATAGGAGATAAGATGGGCTAAGAGTATATACAACGAGAAGGAAGAAATAGCAAACAGAAAAACGCAAAGTGCAAGAAGATATGGTACAGTGAAGAGAAAATGAAGATGTACGGCCCTTTGAGGTCGAAAAGGGCAAAGAGAAAAGAAAAAGGGGACCTTATAAAACCACCAAACCACCAAACCACCTTAAAAACCGAAAACCATCAAATTTACATGGCCTGGCTAAGCATGCTCAGGACAACGGCCGCCTCTTCAACCTTTCGTCGGAGACGGAACTTGCGCGCCCAAAGACGCTTGCTCTTTCGGGTCCGCTCCTTCCGGTCCTTGTCATCCTTGACGCGTCCGTCGGGCAAGGAATCCCATTTGCATTTACGTGGGTGCATGGTGGGGGACATGTTGTGGACGTTCTTGAGATGGCGGCGGAGGTTGCAGTTCTGGTTCTTGCTTGGCTTGAATGCGCGACTGCAGACTGGGCAGAGCAAAAGCTGGGAGGCAGAAGAAGAGGTAGGTGTGGATGTGGGGGCGGAGCCGACCAAGGGGGTTGAGGCGGTTGTGGGACTGGATGAAGACTCGGGGGTGTCGGGGCGACGGTGGAGGTGGTGGATATGGCCGAGGTAGGGCGAGGACTCGGGCGAGAAGACCGACGCGGATGCGGAGGAGCGGTCAGAGGAGACGGAAGGCGACCGAGACATTTGGGGGGACGAGTAGTCATCGTCCAACATCATCCTCATCGACATACTGTGTCGGGTGCTTCCAGTAGTGCTGGGTGCAGGGGATGAAGGGTGATGATGGAAATGCGAGAGGTGGTGGTGAGGACGAGTTGAGATGGGCAGGGGGGTCATGGGGGACATGGGGGTCAGAGGCGAGGAGATGGCACCGGCGACGAGGGTCGAGATGGAGGGGAGAGTGGGCGTCATAAGTCCACTACGTCCATGTCCATGAGACGACGACTCGACGACGACGGCGGTCGAAGGGGTGGTTGGAGTGGCCAGAGGATGGTAGGCGGAAGGCGAAGTTGGAGGGCGCGAAAAGTAGTCACCCGTTCCACATCCATTGCTGCTCGGAGTAGTAGTACCGTAAGGAGAGGAAACGGGGCTAGCTCGGTGATGATGATGATGATGATGGAGGGGAGTACTGGAAGCAGCAGCAGCATGATAGTAATGCTCTGCAGCTGTTGGGGTTGGTCGGCGATGGTGGTGGTATTGGTGGTACTCTTGATCCCGCGACGACGACGACATGGGGGAAGGAGACGATGGGGAAGAGGAAGGATAGATACCATCTCGAGGAGAGCTCACTGCTTGACCTTGATACTGGTGTTGATTGTTGGCTGGTGGTTGTCTGGACGAGGCGGTAGCGGGATGTGGAATTGATGACGACCCATGGTAAGAGTGGTGATGCTGTTGAACCGTGCTCTGGGAAGAAGAGGGGGACTGCTGGAAGGGGTGGATTCCGTTACTGGAATAACGATGCTGGAAGGATGAGAAAGGAGCTGGGAGGGCGAGGGGAAGGTTTGGCTTGCTGTTGTACTGCTTGCCATTGTGATTCTGAAGACGCTCATACGAGACTGAAGGGGACCGACTCGAGAGATCCGAAGGGGTCGATGGCCCGGGCGAGCAGGATAGAGACCGGTCCGAGGCAGAGCTGTACTGGCTGTGGAGGGAGGAGTTAGAGAGACGCGAGGAGAGCGAGGGTGTGCTGCTGTTGCTCGAGAAGGATCCTCGTCCGCCATTGTTGTGGTTGTTCTGGAAGGTAGACATGGTGGAGTTGGGGAGGAGGGGAGAGCTGGCGGGGGAAGAGATGCTGGGTCTGTTGTATTGACGAGGAGAGGATGAGGAGAAAGTCGAGAAGGAGTTTACCAAGGAGGAGATGGGTGTTGGTTGTTGTTGTTGTTGTTGTTGGGAGTAAGGTGGGAACTTTGTCTGGATGGAAGGTAGATCGATGGAGCTTGACATCCTCTTTGTTGTTGTTGTCTGTTGTTTGGTGGGTGGGTACAAGAAGCCGAGGAGGAAGGGAGGAGGAAGAGGGAGAGTAGGAGGAAGAGAAGAGAAGAGAAGAGAAGAAAATGAAAAGAGGAAGAGAGGGAATATTTATAAGCCTATTGGATGATGTGATGATGATAATAGGGATAGGCGGACGGGTTATTTTTGTGAAGGATGGTCACTGATGGGCGGGAAGGGATAGGAACAAAAGGGATGGTGGAAAGAAAGGCTGCAATGAGGATACGACGGACAAGATGTGGAAATAAAGGATTGCTTCTTTTTTTAAAAGACGTTAAAAGGGTCGAGGCGAGTGAGATAATAAAGGGGCAAAAGTCTAGTTGGTTGGTTGGTAAGAGGACGAGAGTGGTATGTGCGTGAACGAGAAGGACTAATGCGTTGTCAGTTAAATGGGAATGGAAGAGGAGAATGAGTGTATCCGTGGAGGAAGGGAATGATTCAAAGGCAAAAGAAGGAGATATGGTACACGGTTTTAGTAGAGAGAGAGAGGGAGAGCGAGTTAGAGAGAGAGAGATAGAGAGAGGGAAAGACAAGGAAATGAGAAAGAAGAAGAAAAAAGAGGGGAAAAACGTTGGCCTTTGGGTGTCTTTATAAAGACGAGTCGAGAAGGAAGCAAAGGTGAAGAAGAGGAAAGAGGAGGAACAAGAGGGAAGGGAATGGATCTATCTCTTGTCTATACTCACTCATTCACTCACTCATTCACTCGCTCACTTACTCGCCCAATCTATCTCTTACCTTTGAATGATTGAATGAATGAATGAATGAATGAAGATGCAAGATGCAAGTGAGGGAATGAATGGATTGCAACGAATGAATGACACACAAAAGAAAGAGTGAGAAGTAAACAAGTAAACAATTCTTTTTACTGCGTGCATCCATGTACAACAACACCATCGAACGAACTCAAAAAAAAACACACACGAACGAGCTCAAAGAGAACGGACGAACGCCCTCTACCCCTTTTACCTTTCTGTGCCTTGTTCACTGATGTGGTGCTCTCTCTCTCCTTGTTGTCGTTTTTTTTCTCTCTCACAATTTACAATTGAGTTGGATTGAATTGAATGAGATGGATGAAGAAGGCAATGGGGACCCAGCGTCGTTCGTCTGGATGGAACGAACGAACGGAGGATAGATACATGTGTAAAATTAGCGAGGGGGGGGGGGAGAATGAGGGGAGGGAAAGGGGGAGGAAGAACGCAAAGAAAACGAACAAGAGTATGGACGATGTCAAGAGAAAGGCGAGGCGAAGGGACAAAAGGATATCAATGCGAATGAATAAAGTTCGAGAGAAGGAAGAGAGTATCAATTGAATTGGATGTAGAAGACGTTAAGAAGGGACAAAGGCAATTGAGTGAAGAGGAATGAAGAAAATGAGGGGAGAGGACAAACTGCAAAGAGAAGGAAGAGAGAGCGAATGAGGGGAAGGAGGGAAGAGAAGGAAGGAAGGGGGAGAAGGAAGAGGGGGAGGGCGTTAATTGAGGTCGTACATAGACACAAACGAACTATTTGACAGACAACAAGAACATCAACAAGTGCCAGAAACAGAAAAAGAGGGACAGAGAGACGAAGGGGAGATAATGAGAGACAAGGACGAAAAGCCAAGGGGGCAGAGAAATAGCTAGAGCGAGAGTGTGTGTGCGTGAGAGAGAGAGATATAGCGGGCACGACAAAGAGACAGGCTACGGGAGAGGGAGAACGAGAGAGAAGGACAACGCGAAAAAAATGACAAATGAGACACGCGAACACAAAACACGAAAGAGACACGAACGAACGAACGAACGAATAATAAAAAATGAGGGAGAGAGAGCGAGAGAGGGCATCCATTCTGGGTCCATGGACGGACACCCATAATAGAGCAATGAAGATGAGGGGAGGAACGAGAGAAAGACATGGTGATACACGCAGAGAGAGTCAATCCGAAGAAGGTGCCTTTTTAGACATTCGGCCCATGGGCCACATATCGAATATTACTGCTTATGGTGTTGTTACTCTATGCCTATTCAATTGAGATGTATGACAGGTGCACACGCACGGATAAACAAGCAAAGCACATATGCGCACACAGCACAGAAACTGCAAACGGCAAACACAAACACAAGCATAAAGCACATATCCACGGATGCGTAATTGATAGCCGACTGCTCATAGAAAAAGAGCGAGGGCTTGTGAAAGGATAAGGTATGATGAACTCATAGGAGTATCGATGGTAACGACTTCGGGTCGTCTATGTCTATCTACGGTACCAATATAATTTATTCGATTGAAAGGGAAGAAAAGAGGAACGGGAACCGAAGGGAGGAAAAGAAGGGAAGAAGGAGGAAGGGAGGGATCAGGAGAAAGAGTATCGTCCTTCTCTTTTGATCTTTGTCCTTGTGTGGGAATGCGTGTGCGTGTAAATTCTTTTCATCTGTCGAAGAGAAGGTACCGTCCGTCATCAATGTTGTCACCACAACCACTCATCATATTCGTTGTCATCTTCATCTTCATCCTCTTTACAGGTACTGGATAGACAGGGTTGAGAATGCACCGAGGAATAGTAGGAACAATGAAGCAACGAAGTACCCAAAAGAAACGAGTGAGAGGATGAGGAAAAAGGGTAGTTATGTGGTCCGACCTTGTTATCCTGTTTATCAATCTACCGAGAGTGCGCGCAAAAAAAAGAGAGAAACAAGGAGGAAGGGATCAGGGAACCAATGGTACTCCTTCTGACCTCAACCATCCTCCATCCTCCTCGTCTTCTTCCTTCTTCCTCTGAGTAGAACAGACCAGAGCGGTAAACTAACCTCCCTCTCCCTTCTCCTCTCCTTCAGTCGTCGTTGGATGGTTACAACAGCAGTATACAGGACATCCACCGCCGTCTAGTACTGGACATGGCTGTGTCACTGTTTGATCAGTCACCAGCCATCAAAAAGGACAATTAAGACGAATAAGGATAAGACACGAATCAAGCAGAACTATCATATCATCGTAACATAATCATTAATGAACCTCTGTTTGTTGGGTCCCACAATAACTGTTGCTAACAAACCTGGACCAATTGTTTTGAAAACGTCGTCAGCACCTTTTACTCTGCTCTTCTTTGCTTTGCTTTGTATCTTTCTACCCTCTCTCGTTCCTCCCTACATTCCCGGGTTACAGTTGCGTCCCGATTATGTGCGTTGTTGGTCCGTTTGCATGCCCTCATATGCCATTTCGACTCGACATGATTCGGAGATGGGTGTCACAAAGTTGACTCTCTATCTCTCTTTTTTTTTGTGCTGGATGTCGTTTGTTTGTGCTGCCAATCAAACCAAAAGGCAAAAAACGAGATCTTTTTTTCCTGCCCATGTGTAACGAACCATTCGACCAATTGCCATCTTTTTTCTTTCTTTCCATTTTCCCGGACCCTTGCGTTGAATTCAACAACATGTCACCACATATCTCTTAAATCACAGACAACACAAATATTGTGCTGCCCCCTTCTTTTGCCTCGCCCCTTTCTTTGCTTACCCCTTGTTTGATACACAGAATCAACATTTTTTATTGCAGATCTCTCATTGTCACTCACTCGTTCTCGCAATTACGCCCACTTGAAATCACCACACATTGCAACATCGTACTTATCTGTGGTCGCTTTTGGTAATTGGTCAACAATCATCTCAAGCAAGCTTTTGTCATCGTGCAAGGTCGACAGGCCACAGAACTGTGAGCAATATATTTTCAGACTGATGACACACAGACACGGTAAGAGGCAATGCAGTGCAGGCAGGCAGGCAGGCAGTTAAGAAGACAGGCAACACGCGTTGTATTCTGTTGGCTGAAGATGAAGCTAAGGCTTCTTGCTCCTTTGCTGCCACTGATAATGCTGCTGCGGCGAAATGTGGCGATGGGTGGTGGTGGTTTATTTTTCTCTTCTGTCGATAGCTAAAGGTCTCTCCCTCCTTTTCGCCCTTCCTTCTTCCCTCCTCTCCTCTCCTTTCCCCTTTATCTTCCCCTTGGAATTGTTTCTGAGGTAAAAACTTTCTGTTCACTCTGGTGTTGTTTCCAACGCCAACGGAAGGAATGTTTTGAGCATTGTTGCTTTTCTCTTGAGCAAAGTACTTTTTCTTTTCTTTTTCCTTTTTTTTTGTCCCAGGGCATCCTGCCGTACGTGACTCTTTTCCAGTAGCAGGGAAGGAGGGAGAGGAATTGACAGGGGAGGAAGGAGAGTCTGCATCAACCACTCATTCACCGACACTCATACACACACTCACCTCTTCTCGCGTAGCCAAAAATAAAAATAAAAAAGTGAGCACCGACAAAGCACAACTTACTGACAAAAGTCAGAAGATTCATGCTATTCAGAATAAAAATCAAATATATCATCCAAAACATCCTCAAACATCATAGAAATCTACATCTACGCGAGATTTTTTTCACCAGCCTACCCGTTCCTTTCCCAGACCGGGGTCACCTTGCAAACTGTGTAGTCGCGGGAACCGTCCCGTCCCTTCCCCACTTTTTTTTCAAGTCGCCAACCATGGGATGCATACATACCATACATACTACTCCAAGGGTTTGGTGTTTAATCAACGAACGACTCCATTCACCTCGCCAGAGATGTTCGTGCAACAATTGCCTCAGCAAGGTAGATAGATATGTTATGGTATGCACCCACCTCTTTTGCTTTTTGTACAGTACGTACACGACAAACAGTACACACAGGTGCTGAAAAAATCAAACGCGCGCGGCGCGCCTGCATACATTTGAAAGTAACTCATCTATCCTTTTCTTCTCTTACT